GTATAATTTAAACCGTTCACTGCGAAACGAGGCTTGAAACACCTCGTCCGTGTCTCGTCGTTATAGCGGTAAGGAAAAACTTAAACTTCTCTGTCGTGCGAGAGGCGTAACTTCCGTTTGCTTCAGTCTAGGAAAGAGATAACTATATATCTGAGATGTGCTATTGATGGCTAGTTTTTTGGTATATCTACCTTAATAGGTACCGGATTTTTTGGGCCTCGTACCGCACTGAATAAATTAAAGTTTAAAACTGTGCGTTACGAGGTTGCGAACACCTCGTACCCCACACACCTCGTACCGCACCCTACGCTAGCTTTACGCGGTTAGTGGTGTGCAAAACGTTGAACGCTGCACCCGCGACGATATAATAAGATGTCGAAACGTTGCCGAAGAAAGTTAATTAATAATATTATTGATGATGAAGAGGAATTGGGTGGTAAATCTAATTCTAAATTAACGATATTTGAAAAACAGGTAAGTTTCCAATCAATATTTACAAATTATACTCAGTCTAAGTGAAATAATTATGTAGAAATATAACAAATAAATTCAACTGACAAAAGCAAAACACACACAGGCCGTAACGATCCCATACTTATGTATAGAAATGCTCCAATAAATCGCTACACCTAATCAACCCGCTTCAAAAATACACTATCAGTTTTTTTTTTCAGAACCCGTCCAAACAATTCCCATCATCTCGAAAAAGGATCAAAGAAAATGAGATGTGTAGGATGCTACGAAAAACTTCGCACCTTCTTATCAAGTCGTGAGGCTGACAAAAAAGCAAAGAAAATTCTCACAGAATGTATCAGTTGCAAATAATATTATTGTTTAACATGTTTTAATAAAAAGCATCCATAAGTACAATTAAATAAAATCGATATTTTTTCCCATCACTAAACAATATGAAAAACTGCCCTTTTTCAGTGCGGTATGGGGTACATAAGACCCCACATTTTATTTTGCATATAGAATCTAAACTAAATAATCCGCCCACGGGCGGCGGCAGATTTAGGTTAATCAACTAATTGATAATAATAATCGCGACAAAAAACGTACAATTCGCCTTATTTGGCGCCAAAAAAAGGATTTTTGTCTTCTGTGGGCGGTGGGGTTTAATAAGCCTCGTGCCGCTACAACCTCTGGTTCAGAACGAGGTTTCAAACGTCTCGTAACGCAGTAATGGAAAGTACAGATAAATCAGTGCCGCTGCGAGCGTGTTAATTATGAATATATGTGTGTTTTTTTATTGAATATTGCCCTTTTTTGAGGGTATTTTGTGTGCATGCAGAGATTTATTAGGTACTTTTTCCAAAATATGTTTAAATTAAATGAATCAGAGCATTCAGATACTTCAAAGTAAACAAATAGTTACACAAGTTCTTATTCGACGAAAATGAAAAAACACAGAAAAATGAGTCGGGTTTTCATTCATTAGATCATTCCCAAATAATAATTATAAAGCATTGTGTCAAAAAGACTTATTATTCTAACTCACGGCGTTGAAAATGGCTACAAAAACCTTTTAGTTTGTAGCCGTTTTAGCTGTTCCGATTCAAAAACTGAATTCCGGATCATTTCTACCTTCTGTCACAAAATTTGACCCACTGCATCTGGATACACTATTACGAAGTCTATTTCGACTCGTCAAAAGTACACATACTGTTCAATAACTTCGAGCGTAGTACTCCCAACAACTATCGGCATGACCGTTACATGGACGTTACTCATGACCTTTGTATTGTCGATGTTAATTTTAAGACCTTATACATTTGGAAACTATTGTATCAATGCAGCTATGAAGAGTTCCTCGGAAGGAACGTCACCCTGTATTTTACCTCACTGCAGTTGGATAGGTTTCGTACTCTGGTTCTGTTACGCGAATAGCCATCGACGTCGATAAATAGACAATCTCTAAAGGGACTGCAGCATCGCATAAATTTCAACAGAATCACAGACTTTATGATTGTCTACTTACGCAAGACAAAGTGGTGTATTATAGGTACTCCCAGTCTTCTGTACAATTTGCACGAGGGGTACCTATGTAGGTATAAGATCTTTGATAAAAAAGCCTTTCTGAAAACAGACTTGTTTAGAAGACTAGAAGTCGTCAAGTCTGCATGTAAGAGGGTTTCAAATTACTTTAGAAAACAGCACGATGAACAATAATGTAATAAGTATAATACTAACTACTTAAGTACTGCACCATTCAATATTTAAAACTAGAATTTTCTACTAGAACTTTGCTTTTTTGAACTAGAGCTTGAAATATGCTTGTGGTTGGAAAAAAAACCTAACCTAATTTTTATAAAGAGTATATAAGTATTTAGAATATTAATACCTTACACTAAACACGTGATAACCTTTTCTTGTGGTCATTATCCATATCGTCTGTTTTAAGATTGGCTATTTTACTGTGCATCTTAAAAATATTATATTATGTTACAGAAAAGCTCAGGTGATGAATACATTCCAATTGAACACGTTTTTGACGGGTCCAAAAAGAAGCGCGTTCGGCTTCTTGACCCTTTTGTTCTGCGGCTGCGACGGGAAGAGCCACTACAAGCGTACAAAATCCGAAGGATTGATGTAAAATTTTAAATAATTAGTTTCTAAATAACAGACAAAATGGACGATAGATTTTAATTAAGTACAATTACTTTATTATAAATATTTACAAACTTAATCTTTTAACCATTTCACGGTCCCGTGAGTTACATAATTTGAATATTTCGTTTTTTTTATTATTATATCTTTTTCATGGACAGGAAAGTTATTAAGACCGTGTGTGAAATGCGGAGGCCGTTCTTGCTTGGTGCGATTATAAGTGGCAAGCCCTCAGATCATAAAAATGTGATCTATGAGTAATTCCATTATTAATAAACCATTAGCGCATGCATGTACTCGTTTACGCATAAGGCATAAGTTTTTTTTATAGGATAGGGTGACAAACGAGCACACAGTACACCTGATGGTAAGTGGTTACTGTGGCCCATAGATATCTACATCTATCCTCGATTACGAATCAAAATGCAGATGCGTTGTCACCCGTGACGACTGAGATGGAATGCCTCGTTTCCAGTAAAAAGGGTATCCGGTTCTCTACACTCACCATACGAAATACAGCAGCATTAAGCTACTATTTCACGCCGGTATTCTGTGAGAGCGTGGTCCTTCCCCGGTCGAGCCGATCCATTCGTGCTACAACTATACATCCTATATAACTGCAGCATGGCTCTACCACGTATAAAAAAGTATGGCATAAACAGGCATGCTTTTAAAAAGGGGAAGAATCGAGCTTTACGGTATTTAAACCATGACAAGTGTTAGACTCCAAAACCATGACAATTGTTGAACCCTCAAACCAACTTCAATTTCCGGAAATCTGAATTGTCTATCGTTTGCCTTATAATTTACAGGTATATTCGCTACATTCTATAAACGAATATTTATTATATTTCTGCTCAACGAAATATTTTATTTCAGACAGTAAGCGGCATTTTAACAAACTCAGATGACCACGCGTTTCAAGAAATAAACAAAAATGTAAGTACGTAGTATTAAATATTTTATATGAAAAAATAGTCTATCATCATTCATCACTTAGGAAAAGATGATCAATTTTAATTATTATCACCAAGATATCCGTATAATGCTATTTTCAACATGTTTAGGTAGTTTGTAATAATTCATTTAAATCTATTTACAACAGCTTGATTTTAAATAGTATTATTAAGAATTAAAATACGTTAAAATTAAGTAATGTTTATGAATGTACGTATATCCTATAAATATATAGGAATGTAATAGAATATCGTAACCAGTATTGCCGAATATTATAGAAATTCCTATCAGTAACGTTACAGATTTCGATTAAATACACCAGATAGTTTCGAATATCATTTTTCAAGAATAATTCTACTGAAATGAGTAAAATGTTTTACGAGTCACATGCTATAGAATTATTTTAACTTATTTTTTATATAAAATTGTTGGCACTTTTATTTTATTATTTAATTAGCTTTCAAAATTATATAATTAATAAATATTTCTTCGCCTAGATCTATTAATGTGGCGTAATTTAAGATGTAAGATAATCAAAGACCGCCTTTGCTTAAATATCCACAACTAAAACTGTATGAAACGACCCAAAACCATAACTGATAATTATGCAAATCATTATCCAGCTCCCAAAATAACGTAACCGTAACAACTAAGAACGTTAACCATGAGCGCTAGTAGAATAAGTGTATATACTAAATGTTCAAATATATTTTGTCCAGAGTCGCACGCTTCACACATTATAAACTTTGACGTTTAATACTGGCGATCGCAAAATTCTACTTTTGCAGATGCTGGAGCGGAAAAAACGTGGTCTTGAAACTTATTTCATTCGGGACAGCAATGCTGGTAGAGATATGTTAAAGGCATCTTCATATTTAGATGGTAATATTATAAAAATAACTGAAATAATTTTGCTTTTAAATTTTTTTATTATACTTAGTAACTAATTATAATTAATATTTACAATATTTACTGATCAACATTTCTAAAACGCTTATTAAGCGTATACTCCAACATTTTACGTATACCATTTTGACGTACAATAGTAAATTAATTATAGTTTATGAGGCTTCGATCGCTAGAACGAAAGTCAATAATTGATGTAAAGAACGTATTTAATCCTTCGAGCCTGATCATAAAATTGAAAGTAGTGGTATATTCAGATTGAGTAATAAAGATAAACTTTAATCAGTATTGATGACGCTGCTGATGAACTATATTCCGACTATTTGTAATAATTACGCGGTGGTAGTATTAAGCGATTTTCAAAATTCTAGTTCTTCCTTTTCTGACAATTTTCTTTTTAGAATTAAGAATAAATGGCAAAATGCGATGCATTGGTATTAGTGATGTCCACCACCAATACCAATACATCGCATTTTGCCAACCACAAAAGTATCACAAAAATACAATATTTTTTACAATATCAAAACCTACTCGTAGTCGGGGTTGTCTTCAGTGAAGATTTCCATTTTTATTTTAGTCTCAGGAATATGGTCACTTTTGAACTGATCTTTTAAAATTTTGACATTGTCGTTTACCGTGTTCTTATAATTTTGATTTGCAAGCATTTCCTCTGCTTCAATTATAACTGCAAATATTTTTTTCTTCACTTGTGTTTGCATCCAGTAGGGCATAGTTTTAGTACTTTTTAAGATGCAATTGAAAAATGACTCTAATGCATCTGTTTCTTGCTGAGAATCATTAACTTTTTCTATACATTGTCGTTTATTAACATGGCCCCACGTATTTATATTTTCGGCAGTATCTGATGCCGAATTATCCTCTTCGGAATCCTTAGGGCTACAAGTAGGCACGTCTATTTCTATGTTCTCTGTTATTCTGTATTTCATATGCGGTTCAAGAAATTGCATTGCCTTAGCATATTTCCAAGTTGTGATTTGTGCAGGCAGTAATTTATTCTTGCCCAATTTAGCTCGCTTTAGTGCATCTCGGTGGTTGTCACGAAGTTTTTTCCATTCCGTTTTAGCGGCTTGAACTGAAAAAAGACTCACTAGTTATTCTGTTCCTAAAATATTTTAAATAACTAGTATTGCTATTTGGGTAAGTAAGCGTGTACGAGAGACTCACTACTTAGCTCTCAGATAAAAGATACGTGGGGATTACTCTTACTTTTAAATCTCTAAGCAGGAAAACCAACAATTTGTTTCTGTTTGACAGTTAGCTTCGTCTAAGATTTGGCCTGGGCATTTGCCACAGGTTGTCAGGTGTTCTGACAACTAAGCTATGTGATCGTCTAAAATGCATACAGTCAAAAATATATTGCTTAGTTTAAATAACAACAAGAACACGGCTATTATTTTTTAATTAAGTTATTATATTAATTCAAATATTGAAATAAATACCTCATAGCTTATATCATATAATGTAATTTATATATTAATTCCTTTACAATACATAAGTAAAAAGATGGAGTGACGACCTGGTAAGATATGCAGGAAGTCGATGGATGCAGGCGGCTCAGGACCGTGCTTTGTGGCATTACTTGGGGGAGGCCTATGTTCAGCAGTGGACTTGTGAAGGGCTGTAATGATGATGATGATGACATAAGTAAAAAGTTTAAGTGTATTCACCAAAAATAAAAAGCATATTTTATCATCAAATATTACACCGGCAGTAAAAAAGTTTAATTCGAGCCCAAATTATTAGACAGGCAATACAGATATTTTTCAAACATATGCCTATTTACTCTGTGATTTATATTCATTTTATTCCGTATAAAATAAGGTAACCTTATAAGCTATCCCATAATTTTACATTTTAATTTGGTTACCCTAATAACTCGAAGTACGAGTATTGTGCATCATTGATGTAAATGTGTGCACAATATTAAACTAATAATGAAGTAACCATATTTGGTATGGTATTCCTTCCATTTTCAAATTTTAAGTGATGCTCTCATTTTAATGGATGCTGATATTATACCTAAGAATAAGATTATATGCTACGTAAAATATTAAACGCTCACTTACTATTTGGAATTGACTTGTTGTTGAAATGTTCCACTACGCGCCGCCATGCACTGTCTTTTACGTGCATTTCGCGATAATCTGGGTGTAATGGGTTCCAAAGACATGGATGTAGACGAACGCCTTCTATAAAACCTTCCATTGTTATACTGAATTATTATGACGTTACTTTGTTACGCTAGCTTACATTGACAGCTCGTTCTACTTATTACTGAATTCTAACTAGGGGTAACCGGCCTCGCACAGCCTCGCTTCTCCTCGCGCGTGTTCGTTCACTCCGCTCCCTTCCCCCCGTATACTTGTATTACTGCGCGTCGGTCCGACGCTCCGTTCTCAAACCGGTTTTGTCAAGCGTTTCCAAATTACCTGGGGCTGAGTAATGTTCATTTAAAATTTACAATACTACTTGCACCTATAGGCTATTTTATTATCGACAAATCGATGCTGAAGTTTTATTCGATTCGATGCAATACTATATTTACCAATATTAAAATAGTGTCTGAATATAATATTAAGTTTATGACTGTTACAGAGCCGTGGTAATTCAGGGTAATAAGCACTTTCTTGTCTTAACATTTCATACTAGATGATTAAACCGAGTTCGGTCCTCGGTTGCAAGAGCCCACCGACCGACGTCTCTGAAATTGTTAATTGCAATTTAAGAACTGCTAAGGAAATTTGCATGTTTAGGAAATTCAAAAATATTTAAAAGACATGTGAAATCCACCAACGCGCAATGCACCGTGTGTTTTAGAAACAAACCCCACTATTTTATTTTTACGTGGTAGAGCCATGCTGCAGTCATATTAGTAGTATAGTTGTAGCACGGCTTGTACACAGTTGTAGTTGTGGGTCGGCTCGACCGGGGAAGGATCACGCTCTCACAGCAAACACATTTGACCTTATCTACCAGCGTCAAATAGTAGCTTAATGCTGCTGTGTTTCGTATGGTGAGTGTAGAGAACCGGATACCCTTTTAACCTTCACCTAAGTCCTCACGGATGACAACGCATCTGCATTTTGATTCGTAATCGAGGATCGATGTAGATGTCTATGGGCCACAGGAACCATTTACCATCAGGTGGACTGTGTGCTCGTTTGTCATCCTATCTTATAAAAAAAAAATCTTAAAATAGCAGCTCAACTCTGTTGCGTTTCGTATGGTGTGAACCGGAGACCCTTTTTTACGGGATCGAGGTATTCTATTTTAGTCCTCACAGGTGACAACGAATCTGCATATTGATTCTTATTCAAGGATAGATGTAGATGTAGATGTACATGTCTATTGGTCAACAACCACTTACCATCAGGTAGTCTGTGTGCTCGTTTGTCACCCTTATTCTATAAAAAAAACCCTTGAATAATATGTATTACTGCAAAGATAAATATTCGAGATTAAACTACGCTGTAACCTGTGATATAAAGTCAAAAATTGAAACACTTGTTTTCTCAAAGAAAAAATATATTTATTTAATCGAAATATTTACCTTCATTATCCATCTGCCTATATCTGCAGTAATGCCGTTATCTCGCATCTGGTCGATTTTCGTTTTTTGGTATCACCATAATCAGAAAAACATCTCTATCTTTCTATCTAAGGAATGTTTTTCTACTATTTATGGATCCCGAGATAAAAAAAGAAAAACACCGTTAAGTTGCCTTCTTTGATATGTTTACTAGTTACGCTAAAACGCAGGTAAGCAACATTATTAAACTAAAAAGTGACTAATTGCTGATAATTTACCTTTTTCCCCAGAGTGTTTTCCATCAATTGCATAACTAAATTGCCGTTAACAGAATTTCCTACTCTATTATGAGGTTAAAGTACTTTAACGGTTTTATAATTTTACTTTGTTTCAAATTACAGTGTTCCAAATCAAACGCTAAAAAGCCGTTAAATGAAAATACTAGACAAAAATGTCGCTAATTTCACTTGACGGCATTTATGCGTAGTATCTAGATGTGTTTTTATTAAGAGATTTTGTAGTAAATACGCCAATAACGGCATTATCAATATGAAATATAAATATTTTGCTTATCACGTCGATCACATAAATGCAGGTATCCCTCATACTACACTAAAACGCGGTTATGTACTAATGTTAGTGAATCGCCCGCTCTCGATCCGCGGCCTTCCGAGATTCTCTGGATTGATGCTTCATCAAATTCGCGGATTCACTAAAGTTTAACGGGAAGGACGTGTCACGCACCGCATTCCCGCCAATTGTTACAATGGCTGACAACTACCCAAGGTAAAACATTATTTAATTACGAAATTTTGTCGGTTTAGTAAACAATACATATTGGATAAATATTAATTGTACGTCGGTGCAAAAAGTTTCGGTCTCGTCACGCAAACAACTTTTTTTTCTGCATCATTTTGAATCTGTGATGTATTAAAAGTATTAATTTAAAAAATATGAAGTAAATTACACTATTAATCTACATAAATGCTTTCGGTAACTAGCACATTTTACTGGATAAGTATCAATACCATATTGTTCAAAATAGCTTCGCAAATAACCAAATATTTTCTTTTAAAATAAAAAGATAAAATGGTTACATTTCGTCGACCTTATTAACCAATTATTTTTATTTATAAATACTATGTATTGAAGATACTGTAGAGACCAGTGTAGAAGATAACGTAAACCTACTTACATTTTAATTGCTACAGGCGCACTGCTATTTCAGAAAGATCCAAAAACATTTTAGACATGATTAAGAAGAAAGATAGTACAGACACCAAAATTGAACTTGAGAACTTTAGCAGAAGGAATAAGTAAAAGTCCTTATCGTAAGCTACTGCATTTTGATACATTATATTATAGAACTTATTCGATAACGTCCAATGTTTTTGAAAAGTTTTGTGATACGCAAATTACTTATAATTCACATATGCATTCATCGATCCTGAATAATTTGAATAAAGATTTTAAAACTTGTTCTGCTCAGAGCCATGATGCTTTACCAAATTCTGATCAGGTGCAAATCGATTTATCCTGCAACGAAGTGATGCCGTCAGAAGAACTCTCATTTAATGTAACTGAACAAAATGATATAACTTCATCAACGTACGCGTTGCAATGTGATTTTGATTCCGACGACTCTGTGCGTGATAAAGACTATCTCCCATTTGATTCAAGTAGTGATTCAAGTGACGATTTTGAATCAATTAAACCAAGAAGCCGAAGGTCCCAAGTGTTCAAGAAACAAAGTTCTAAAAGAAAAGGGTACACAATCCATATTTACACCAGCTGTGGTCACGAAGAGCTTAACTTCAGACGTTCTTGACACTGTTCCTTTTATTCATGAAAGAAAAAGTTGCAGAATAAACGCAGAAGTTCAATAAATTTTCTTTGTGCTGATAAATATATTGCGGCGCGCTACTTCCACGAAATCGTAGGAACACTATTGATATCGGTGCGTATCAAACATTGTATCAAGTCAATGAATCTATTGCTGACTGATTTGGAACCTTAAACATCACAACCAAAACAAAAAACGTAAAAAACATAACACTCTTTAATTTCAGCGAAAAATAGATGCCAAAAATAAAAAATAGAACATAATGTTAAAACGGGGTGTAACGAAACCTGCCTAAAAAAATCTACTTCTTCATTTAGTCAAGACCGCCGAGAAGCAATCAATAAAATTAAAAGGCCTTGTCCTGGCGAGAAAAGCATTTATTCGTGAATGCACACACTTAAGTAGCAGTTCCAAAGAGAAAAACGACCAGTGACTCGAAGAGGAAACCAAGAATGGCATTTACATTTAAACAACTAGACGAAACCAGAGATGAGGTATGCAAAACCTTTTTTTTTGACTACCTTAGGTTATGTTAAAACAAACGACAATATCTTGCATAGCTCTTTTATAGATCCCCAATTTACTGATAAAAGAGGAAAGCACCAGAGAACACTTGCTTATGATCGTAATTTGTTGACTCAGCACGTTGAATCGTTTCACCCATCAGAACCACACACAGGCGCGATATAATACTCACTGCGACGATATTTGTCGAGTGATATTACTCTGCTGACTGCTGCGGGGCGGGTGCTGGCTGATGTTAAAAGAGCCCCAAGGATCGCGATCTCACAAACCCATGATGGGAACAGTCTAATCATCAAGGGCGAGGTCAACGGAATGCCGTGTAAACTGACAATAGACACTGGAGCCTCTCGTACGGTTGTTAGTTCCCAACTTATAAGTCAGTTCTTTGGGGACTCCGCATACAACCGAGAACGCATTAATTTGGTAACAGCCACCGGTCAGCGTATACCCGTCCGTGGAGAGAAGGAGATGGAGTTGAAGCTAGGCAACGTGATCTACCTGCATAATGTCATCGTGGCTGATATAATGGACGACTGCATCCTAGGCCTAGACTTTATGAGGAATAATTGTTGTGAGATCGACGTTAAGCAAGGTGTTTTGAAATGTGGACAGGAGGAACTTTTTATGGAAGGTGCGTTACCAGGGAACGTGTACAGCATTAAGAAGATTGTTCTTCCGCCGAGATCGGAAACGATTGTTCCGGTTAGTCTTCCTCGAAACGCTGGGCAAGCTCACCGTTGTGTACTTGTGGAAAGGGTAAACAATGACCTTCCATGGAAAGTAGCTCGAACCTTGGTTAGGACCACTGACATCTCAGGAGTACGTGTGCTGAACCTTTGCGAACGGGAGAGAATAGCCATTGACGTGGCGGGACCGTTTCCGGAGAGTGAAAGCGGTAACAAGTATTTCATGGTTGTGATGGATTACTTCACTAAGTGGCTAGAAGTCTTCGCCATTCCAAATCAAGAAGCTTCAACAGTTGCTGATAAGCTAGTTCATGAAGTCTTCTGTCGTTTTAGAGATTCACAGCGATCAAGGAAGGAATTTTGAGTCTCAAATATTCCAAGAAACTTGCCGAGTTATGGGTACTCATAAAACAAGAACGACTTCTTATCACCCGCAATCTGATGGAATGGTGGAACGATTTAATCAGACATTGGAGAGCTACCTAGCAAAAGTTGTAGACAATCGGCAACGAGATTGGGACAAGCACATACAACCGTTTTTGTTGTCATATCGAAGTTCTGTTCACGAAAGTACAGCAGTGACACCAGCTTTCGCAAACTTTGGAAGATAATTACGGCTGCCTGCAGACCTGATCACCGGGATACCACCTGATGCCCCACGCAGTATAACCGATTATGCAAATGACTTGCGGAACAAAATGAATGACATTTATGAGCACGTCAGACAATCGGGCCAGCAAATGTCTGAGAAAATGAAAACCCGGTACGACCGCAAAATGAACAATAAAGGGTTCAACGAAGGTTCATTAGTGTGGTTGCACAATCCAGTCCGCAGCAAAGGGAAATCTCCTAAGCTTCAAGCTAAATGGGACGGCCCGTACCGGATTGTAACCAGGATCAACGATGTGACCTACCGGATACAGAAAGGCGCAAATTGTTACGAGCTTGAGATTCGTGACAATAAAAATTGCCGATAAAATTACCTAAATTAACACTTTAATTTTCTTTACACAGATTAAAACTTAAAACACTAATAATTAATCACACTAATTCACTTTATTTCGCTCCGAAGCTTCGCTTGTCTCGCCGAATCAATACTTCCCCGATCGCATCTTGCAGCGCCTATAAATATAAACCAGCACCGAAATATCCAGAATATTCAAGTAAACACGCGCAAGGTACCGAGAGTTCGAGTTTCAACTTCAGGAAGTTTAGTTCTTCGGTTCGAGACTAGATGGCGCTAGTGCCGTCGACTTAGGCGCGTAACAGTATAACTAACATGCATAGACATTTCTATAAGAAATATCCAGAAAAGATCGTTTCGTATTTACTATATAGGCAACACGTAAAAAAAAATATTTCTTATACTCGTTTGGGTAATGAAAAGCGCGAAATGTGTGAAGCCTATACTTTGCATAAAAAAGAAACATCACATGATGCCGGTAACCAGTTTGTCTTAGACTGTACTTTATGTGTGGAGTGGGCCCATCATCAAAAATATAAAAAGCAAGGGAGCTTTGACAATGAACACAAAAACTTACTACAAAATGATTCCCAAATATATTAGAGCGCAGGTCTAGAAAGAGTAATTATGTTACCCAGATTAGATACCTTCAAAGCTGTAATTTTTTGCCAACGCCTTATGGCATTCAATCAGACATTTGCTCTACTAGGCAAAATCAGTTCCTCTTCAAAGCCATTAACAGTCATATATCATAGTAATGAATTGCAGGGAGAATACAAGAGGACATCATGACGGCCTTCTACCATTTTCTTTTATGTAACTGAGACGATACTAATGTGAATTAATAATGTGTATTTTAGTAGTTTCATAACATTATATATAAGGTGAAGATTGTTTTCATGTTTTTTTAGTTATTTGTTAAGATCTCATTTTCAATTATTGTAAGTAAGTCACCGCAAAGTGGTTTTGTTAAAATTAAAGAACACTTTGTCAGTAAATGATTGATTTATATTTTTCAATAAGCTCTTTTATTTTTGTAGGTTACTACCACTTTATTTAATTTCCTCAACTATCGTGTGGTTGTTTCAAAACTAAAACGCCGTTACATTTTAATGTTTTGTATTTAGAGGCATTTAAGGCATGTAATCAACCTAAAAATAAATGCAGAAAAAATATTCTTATAAGTCACTAGTCACGTGGTTTTAGCTGCGTTATGGTTTTGCATAGTGTTTGTTCTCGGAGTCATAATGCTAAGCTATAACAACGTTAAAGTATTTAGTGGCATTATAGTTTAGTAATGAAGAGATTTTTTTAAGACTTTTAATGTCAATAAAATTAAATTAAAATCAAACACTAAAGTACCGTTACGTTAGGCTTAGCGGCATTATAGTCGTAGTTGCAAAGTTGTAAATTGTAAAAACACTAAACTATAACGCAAAAACCTGTTTTTGTTAAGGTTAAATCATTATTAAACAATTAAAGGTATGGCTTTTTGAAAGCGCAAAACTAGATCTACTATTTGATATCGATAACTCTCGCATATAAGTTATAGTTGTGAAACGGCATCCATTTTTCATTTTTCCCGCGCTTTTTTGTCCTTAACTTTGAAATATGGTTTTGTTGGATAGCGGCATTATAGCTTGCGGACGGCAGCCATACATTTGTACCATTTTGAGGTGAGGATCATTTATGCTTTTGCGATAGGACTCTAGGGATCTGAATTCTATAAAGTAGTCGGTTGGGGCTAGGTCTGAAGAGTAAAGAGGATGAAGAATGCATTCTAACTACAGTTTTTGTAAATTAAGAGGATAGAGTAAGTCAGCTCAAATTCTAATTTCGCCCCCACTTCCCCGCGCGTCGTATGCTATGTACCGACATGTTTGTAATCACTAATACTGTAAGTAGATAGGTCGTTAGATACTTATTTCATTAGGTTTATCATATTTATGCCAGTTTCTTAAAGCCAACCCAGTCACTTCTTATTTTTATAACGGTTATTTCCCATTTTAATTTTACGTCGTCCTGTTGCGTAATGTGTATTCTGATCGTAAGCGACACAACTTCTTCCTTCAAATAATATACTAACAGGGCGACAGGAATCAAGCTTACGCGCCGATAGTTTAGGTAATTTCTTTTTACAGTGAAAATAATGGTATTTTAAAAAAAGTAAATAACATAAGCACTGCTTTATAGTTAGTCCAGTTAGTATGCAAAGTTTCATGATCTTATTTAAAGTATTTTATGAATAACAGCGGTTTATTGTTTATTTTGGAGGTAACTTTGGATTTTTTTTCTATCGAGAAAATTTTACGGAATCGTGTTTTCGTCTAACATAGTCCTTAACATTAATCCTCAACTTTACCATATATTAATTTCAAAATTAATGCTGCAATATTTTCGGCATAACGAAGGATCTTGCTAAGCCATTTAACATTATATTTCCCCTTAAACATGGTGTTTCTAGTAGTGTGAGGTATTGCGTTATTAATTATCATGGAGCAATAAGACATAGGTTAATGACTCGGCGTATTTTATCTGAAAGTTTCGCCGTCCTTGTTCGAAGTTCTTCACAATGGAGTTCCCTTGTTATGTGACCACCAAATGTGACCAAAACAAAAACACAAAATTTACAACTAATATTAATAGGTGAACTTCACTTTAATAATGTACTTTTCATCACACGTCACAAAATAGATTAAATACTGTTCCTACCCATCACAACAAAGGCAAGCTTTAACGTGTGCTCCTCTATGCACATCCGTTGATCAATCAACGTCAAGCCACGACGCTAATTCCGTAGTTGCTTGATACGGATATTTCCTCCATTACTTCGAATTCATCGATATTTACCTTGTCGCTCTGGTATTCCTCGTGGTTCGTTCAAGGATTTAACTATTGTATTTAGAATTTTGTAGTTTTTGTAAGTGCCCACTTGTTATTTTTTCTGTTGAAAATGTTACTCCCACACTATGATTTTTTCCTGTATCGTGGAGGCAGTTTGCAAACGTAAATTACACGAGGGCAAACATCCAGATCCGGAACAATTTTTTTGTGGGCATTAAAAAACTTGTTCCGTGCGGGATTCGAACGCGGCCCTCAGCGCAGCAACTCAATGCTGCACCATACATAAATGTATTGAGGACAGTGATGTTTATAAATAACTAACTCTGCATTTGCAAATCCCTGGCTATTGATGTGTTATTACTATTACCTACAATTACAATGTACAAAAATCATTAATACAATATATATATATATAATATAAAAAAAATATATATATATATATATATATATAATATTATAATTGTGTATATCAAAGCTTACAACTATATATTAAAAAAAGCTTAAATTTAAACTTTAAATGAAATAAATTTAAATAACTTAAAATTAAAACACTTTTTTGCCTAACAATGTAACCTCACAATAATACTATTGGAAAAAAATGCTACGCTATTTGTTTTCCACATTTATTTTATTACATTATTTATCTTAAATAAAGATTCAAAACCCTCTCAAAAATGAGAGGATGCCTGTGCCCAGCAGTGGGATGTATATAGGCTGTAACTTTAAGGAATTTTTTTCTAATGAAACTTGATAACACGCTAATTATTTTTATTTAGAATGCTTCTAATGCACATTGGGCATTCTTTTAAGCCTATATCTTTAAAAATACTAGTACCTGATAAAATAACCGCTAACAGGCCATGATTATCGGCTTAAGTTTTAAATAAAATTCAACTATTGGAATCAACAGTTTATTTAAGTTACAATAAATGTTTAAATTGTTTGACTTCAGCTACAATACAAGCCCTACATTTTCTTCAAGATCGGTTTATATACGAGCGTATCTTCCAGAGTTGATGTCTTCAACAGCTTAACTAACGTTTTAGCGCAGCTTGGTTATGTTTTGTATTGGTTTGGAGTATACTTTTTTTTACGTTTTCCAGTAAAGGAGTTCGAGAGGATTTATAAGTCAGGATAAAGCGTCGTCCACGAAATTGCCTCAAACCGCACTATCCATCAGTCTGGGTATTCTCGATCAAGAAATTCTCTATTGACATGCATTTGCATTCATTCATACATCTGTACATTTTTAAATATTTATCTTAATCGGAACTCGAACCTATTTAGCACCCTTCAATTAACATTGATCTTTAAAATAATTTATTACAGCGAATGCATTTGCTTGTCGAGTAAATAATGCAACTTTAACTAAACGTGTAAGACGGCAAAAGAAAATGACTAAAATAGAATCTTTTAATAAAGAATATGTTTCCCCTTGGTGTAGACACAAAAATCATCTATTTAATGTGCAAGATAGAGAAGTTAGAGATATTTTTAAAAAAGGACGGAAACATGGCACTTCGAGTAAAAAAGAAACCCAAAGGCAGAGTTATAATGAAAAACATACTGGTTTTGATTATGACCCCTCAAGATTTGCCGATAAAAAATATGTTAATAATTATTTAAAAAAAGGCGATTTTAATAAGAAGTTAAATGTAGAACTTTTCGATCCTTACAAATTGCAAACCCAGCATCCAGCAGCCACGTTGCATCGAATCATATCTAAAGAAAATCAAATCGAAAAAGAAGAAGAAACGACGTCCGAATATTTTGATGTAAAAGAGACTGAAAAACATTTCGCTGTCTATGAGATTGGGAGTCCTGATTTGTGGTACACAGTTCATGTGCAACTGTATGAAAAATTGAGTACACCGGAAGGAAAAACTATATGGAATGATATCACAAGAAACGAAGTAGCTAGGTATGTGCTTGCGTGTTTTTCAAGTCAGTCTTTAGTCTCTTTCGTTATCAGCAGAGTACGGGAATAGACGGCCTACCAATCTGCGCAGTGATAGACTTATCATAAAGCTCTTTTTAGATAATGGATATGGATGAGATATGGATGGAATAATGGATACAGCCATAGGAGCTATGGCTGTGGGTAAATGGGCCATCTTCGATCCAGTTACCCTAAGCTCGTAAAAATTGGTTTAAAACCCGCTTTCACAAGAGGGCGAGCGATATCTAGGTGAAATTAATATGTGATATAAAGGCTACAGTCGCTTGGAGATGCAAAAAATTCAAGCTTCTAAGTCAACGCAATGAAGAGATACGGTTTTGCGGTCATTTATGTTACATATTTTCATCTTCGCAAACTCTCTCATCAACACCTATAGGGCATTTCCTATTGATCTAAAATCATGAAATTTGGCTAGAAGGAAAGTCTCACAAATAAAGATCGAAAAGAGAAGAGTAAAAATCCGAAAATTGTTAAATAAAGAAATATTTTTTGCGATTACCAGCTTTATGTTTGCAGTTTGTGATTAAATGATATTGTAGACAAGTTTTCCCATCATCTTATGATTTTCGTACAGGCGGGAAAACAAAATAAAAAATAAATTATATTACCTATATTAAAAGTAATGTTATAACTTTATTATGAATTTATTTCTTATTTTAATTAGAATTAAAATTTTCAAATTAGAATGCAATATATCGAACATCTAATTAGTCATTATTAGAAAACCGTATTTTTATAGATAATCAAACTCCTAATATGCTGTTACCCTGTTTTTGCATTAAAAGTACGTACTTAATTTTAGCGTCAGTACTCTACATCCGGAATGGAATAATGAAGATATGAGTATACGATATCGACTTGCAAAATGGGTGTCACGGGATGAGTTCTATTTACCTAAAGCTGGACTATATTTACTTGTACCTATACGTGACACAAACGTAAACGATCAGACAAACTACGCGGAGTCAATAATTGGTAAGGCTTACTCTGGTCTAAATATTTGATAAACTTTTTATTACACACACTACATCTTGTCTCGAATCAATAGCGTCTTTTGCGTTTATTGTAATATATATAACCATCTTAGCGCTCAGGTAACAACGCACTTGCTTGTGGACTTTTTTGTTATAATACATATGGGCTGCCATTGCGCTTTGTCGGCATGTATGTGTTGTATTTGTATTCAAGATCGAGCTGTTTGGAAATAAATGTTAGAAAATACTGCAAATAGTTACTTCGTAAACTTCGGTAAAATTCTTGCTAAACAGATAATTAACAAATTGTGACAATATACTTACAATATACATGAAAATAGCACTGTGTCAACTCAAAAGTCATTAGACGAATCTAATAACTGTTTCTTTTCGAAGACACTCCTGAGTAAGAAAGGGTTAAGTAATAGGAACTGAAAGAAACCTAGTGTACTACAGAAATTTAGATGAATATTGGTACTGATGTTAAAACATATTTTCCGAATTTTTCTCTGACTAATTTCCTATGGCATTTTGTGATAAGTCTGATAGTTTCATCGGAACTGAAAAGAGATCTCAAAATTTACTATAAATTTGACTTCAAGCTCAAATAACTTTTGAACAGATGGATTTACAATAAATGTCAAAAGACATTTTTGTAGAGCATCGCACATAAAAAAGAGGTTTGTGAGGTAGATAGAATACTCTAAAAAAAGAAATTTCCCGTGTTATTTAAATGAGAAATCAAAATCGACCTTCTAAATGGCTATTAAAATTAATAGCTCTGGTTTTTCACACGCGTCTTTTTTCGGTACTGTGAAGATAATTCGATGCGGGATTTCAAACAAAAAAAAGTCGATTTTTTTCAATCGGTCTAATATTATAATGTAGAAAAAAACGTTGAAAATAAATTTTTAATCTTCATCGTCACTTGAATCAACGTCGAGAGATAGAGATAGATTGAGAAAGGAAGAGAGACGCGAAGTGGGAAATACATAGTTCTCAGCAGCTGCACGCACCACTCTATTCATATTGAGCATTTTAACTACTTCGGCTTGTGGAAATCGGCAGATTATATTATTTCTGATTCCCTTGAAAATAAAAATAAAATTAACCGTGCTCGAGTAAATCAAGGTTACGTTTTTTTTACAACTTTGTGACTCTCCTATTTCTTTAGATCAAGTGCAAATCGTCAGATTATTGAAATACATACTTTTCTGCATGTAATTAACTCACCTTGCCTTAATCTGACGGGCTCGAGTTTTTCGACCTTTCGATTTTTTTTTTACTATTCTGATCGGCTGCCCTAAGCGCACGTCCCTATATAAAGAGCTCACATTTGTTGGGTACTTAATAGGGTGCAAGGTTTCCCCCCTCATGTTATTCTTCTCTTGAGCCCCCGAATAAAGACAAAATATCATATAAAAATCTCATACATTTCCTATAGTTGCGTCTCTTTCCTTTAAATTAATTCCCCTCTCATTTATTCTCTTGAAATCTCCGCTTGAGCTCCCCTACTATTGGGAGTGGCCTATGTTTAGTAGTGGATTTGTGAAGAGCTGTAGTGATGATTATGATCAATTATCAATCGAAAATCAATCAATCTATTGGCATTTTCCTTGATAAGTTGCTAGTCTCTATTTCCATGTTGTTAAATTAACTAGATAACATAATATAAATAGGTAATCGAGGTATACAGTTTAAAATTTTTGCTAACTATTTAAAAACCGATACCATGTTTTAAAAACAATAAGGCCATTACTTTAGAACAAAATAATACTCAATATTGAGGTGCCCCAAATTAGTGTAATTCGGTCAACCATTTTTTTAGTATAAATATCAGTGACCTTTTCAATCAAGAACTTAATTTTGGTAAAATAATATCTTATGCTGATAACATCGTGCCACATTTTCCGCAAATAGTTAATGATGTGCTTTTTTTGAAGTTATTACTCTTAAACAGATTTGAAACAAGATCATTCTTTTCATAAATTTTAGACAAATTTGGAGAATACCTGGTTGTATCCAGTGAAGATGTTATCACTGTAAATGACCCAAAAAAGGACGAAGTAGGTATTTCGTCTCCCGCAACAAATATATCGCAAAGAAAGGTAAAAAAATTATTAATAAGTTTGCTAAAGATTTTGAAATCAGTCCGAAATAAATTATTTCGTTAGATTGAAATTACAACGTTACTCCGTACGCCTAAATTTTCTGCGCTGTGGCTAATTATAAGTATATCTAGTATCAAACTAGTGAACAAAATTCACGTATTACATAGTAGGGTTGATATTTTTTGTACATTCCATTGCTTAATTCATAAAAACAAGTTGTTTACACTAGAAAACATAATTTAGCAAATATTTAATCGCTGTTTTAGGCACCTCGTCGTGTGCTTGTTCGTGGATCAAGAGCGTTTATGGGAGGAGTTGCCGAAAATTTAATATTTGCGAGCAGAGGCTCCGATCAGTACATGATGATACCGCATCGACGTCCGCATCATTCGCAAATTGATGTCGAGGCTCGGGCAGACGAGAACCAGCTTGTGCGTATTGGGTGAGTTATGTTAGCCATATCACTCATAGACATTTTTCAAATAATTTGATATAATGAGGGCTAATAATCTTTCGCCTCACCAGGTGTCGCTAGTTGCCAATTAGATGAACATTTTGTTACCTGTTATCAGTTTTTAGAGTATTATAATAATGTCCTCCAGACCGAATTCCGGCCACGGCAGCCTGCTTCAACGGAGGCTAGCCATCGGCGCAGTACAAGATTATAGTGCCCAAGTGTATGCGCAAGCACAGGTGCACTCTATATCAGGTACACTCCTCCGGAGACGTAAGACCGAGAGATCAAGCGCAGTACCAACGGCTTTATGTGCTTTCCGAGGCAGCGGGGGTGTGACACCGCCAACTTCCTGACTCCGGGCAACTACTGAGAATTTCTTGACGGAAAAACTCAATAATTAATTTTTCGGCCCGACCCGGGATTCGAACCCAGGACCTTGTGATCAGCAGTCGCACTACTACAACCACTAGACCAACGAGGCAGTCAAGTAGTAGTAGAGTATTATATTAATACACAAAACAATGCCTCATCTTTAACTCTTTTTTTCATTCTATATTTATGAATATCTGTGGTTTGGCTTATCTAACAAGGCTAATAAATAATAGTGTACCACTAAGCATTAACTGTGTTTTGCTCATCAAGTGGGATCGTGTAGACAGGGTCTGTCTGGGAAATTTGTCCACGCTTCTATCCTGCCTCACTTTGTTGGTTTGCTATCGCCTTAGAACACCCATACAAAAAATTGTGCGGAGTATTTATCTCTTCACCTTTAGCAACATTTTTTACATCAATCAACACGATCTTGTTTTTGTTCTGGGGTGAGTTCATCAGTAAACCGGCGGCAACAAAGTTTTCTTACTTTTATATACTCTACTATAAATGTTGATGTATTTTTTTTATTTGACCTATACGAATATCCAAACGTTCTCGAATGTCCTCATAGGCGATGCGCCGGTTTTCTTCAATATTTATTGACTTTGCACATTTTCCTCAGTGATCGCAGTAGATGGTTGACCTTCACGAATTTCATCATGGAGAGAATCACAACCTCAATCAAGTACGTACGAACCGTACGAAACAATTCCACAGAGAAGTTGTACGAGGAAGAAAACCCCTAGTAAAACGCACAGTGGTGGACCGCCAATCATCCAGATGGTAAGGATGGTATCGTGAATTTTGACGCGATGTGCGTGCGTGAAATTTGGTGGCTGGAATTAATCCGAACAATTTCTCAGAACACTCCCCCGTGGTAGATGCGATAGGAAAACGCAGTGATGAAACTATCGCTACGCAGCGCCAGTGAATCGAGCCGATCAGAAAGAACTCGATCGTCGACGGTTCGAACCACTCTGCGCTGGATGCGGTCAAGTGGAAAGAGCTGGCACTGGGTTGCCACGGCCCAGAGATGAGAACAGTATTCCCTGTGAGGCTGAACTTGACTTTTTAAAGTTGCAAGCGATGTGCTGGCATGAAATACTGTCTCGCTCTTCTTGACACGCCAAGCTTTTTAGAGGTCAATTTGACCTTCCTCTCCAAGTGACCACGAAACTGCACACTATTCGATATGTCGACGCCGAGGATTCCGATGCTAGCTGAGGCAGCAAGGGGAGTGCCTTTAAATTGAGGAGATACGACAAAGGGGTTCTTTTTAGCGGTAAACGCGCAAATTTGTGTCTTCTGGGGATTGAAGTGGACTAAATTTAGTCGCCCCTAATCCGAGACTTTGTTCGCCAAAAACTCGACTCATCCTAGAATAAAAACAAGATTGAGTTGATTGAAATAAAAAATGTTGCTAAAGTATGTTTACGGACGGCAAATGCTGATATTGTAAAATGAAAACAGTTTTTTGTATGGGTGTTCGAAGGCGAAAGCAAACCAACAAAATTGAGGCAGGACAGAACCGTGGACAAAAAATGATTGTGTATTTTTCCCAGACAGATCCTGTCTACACGATCACACTAGATGAGCAAAAAACAGTTAATGATAAGTGGTACACCACTATTTGTTAGCCTAGTGTCTATGAAAAAGTAACACGAACAAACAAACAAAAAATTGCAGTACTATGACAATGCTTCGGCGCATATTGGGCAGTCATTTTTGTCTTCTGAAAAGGTGTAGGTGGTTTTCGAAAATAAAAAATTTGTTGAGAGGATTAACATTGTACGTAAAAAACATGCGCTCAGACCATATGTTTCAAAAATAGATTGGATGAATGATAAAATGTTTAAATGTAATAAAAAATACTTTGAAAAGCAGTAAATATATTAGTTTACATATGAATTATTTTATTTTGAGTTACGCAAAACTTTCATTGTACCCCACGTATGGAAAAAGCTTTCGCAGTTGTTAATATATTTTTTAAAGTCCTTCTCTATTTTTTTTAATTCTATGCTAATTTTGTGATAAATTTTTTTATTTTTAGTCAAGACATTTGAGTAGTGTATATAATATAAATAAAGTTAAGTCATTTGTGTGAATATCTATATCTAGAAGAGCTATTCACAGGTCTTCTGGACGCATAATGACTGCAGTGTCTGACAATACTCGAAGAACACGAACCGTGCTAACTCTGCAAGTGACCAATACAGGATTGGCCGCTGCTCGCTTCCGGTAGTATAGAAAATAATTATTTTTATTTGCTTAGTACCTATTATATTTATGTTGAGATAAACGTCCATTGTTGCTTCTTCTCTTTATTGTATCAGTGTTCCTATTTGTAATACAATGTTAAAAATTATAATTTTACGGCGCGGTGCCATCATAGAATACTATAATACATACATAATAGAACGGGGGAGTGGGCGGAGGCCGTGTAGCCACTAACATGTTAAATCACACGTATCAATCGTTTCCAATTTTTGTGTCAAGCGTCGCTGCATGCAAATTATTTAAAATATGGCAAATTGTGCAATAATTACGTGTCGAAAGAACAGCGGGATATGGAATTTAAATAAAGGAGACATATTCTACAACCAGTAGGTCGAAACTATTTATATTTTGTGAATATTAGAAACAAAATTAAAGAAATATTTATGTGTCAAAAACATTAATCAAAAGTCTAAAATGTGTAGTAGTGATAACTGATAATACGACGTAACTGCTTGTGTGCTCCCGGCGACGCCAATCCTCCTACAAAATAAGGTTGACAACCATTCTATTGTGTATTATAATATTTTATGGGTGCCACCATAGTACGTTTACTAGTAGGTACTATATGGATGTCGCTATTGATGATGATGTCCTCTTAGCAGATTACAACCTCGACCACGATGACAACCTTATAACATTTGTTAGAAACTATCAACTACACCTGAGATTTAGAGTACCCAAAGTGAACAGTACGTAAATTCACGCATACGTGGTCTCAAATATTAACACAGCAAATGCTATATGATAACATTACGATGTTAGGGGCTGATAATGAGTATTGGAAGATAATTAAAAGTAAAAAATATATTGTATCTGGGTAAAATTATAATGGCTGTTGTCAAAATAAATGAAAAAAAAAATGTTTCGCGCAATTGGTAGCATTGGAAAACTTTTGTAAGTTTTGTAGTGGTCACAATTAGCCTGTGAATAATTATCATATAGTAACAGAATTTCAGGATATATTGATATATGATGGCCCCTACAGATGGGTGTCCCTCAGGGCTCAATTCTTGGCCCATTCCTATTTTTAGTGTATATTAATGACTTACCTTACCTTTTAGGGGATAATCATGATATAGTATTATTTGCTGATGATACTTCCTTGATTTTTATACTTAAACTTCAATCATTTAAATGTGACAAAGTGAATAATGCTATATCGATATTAGTGCATTGGTTTAACGTTTATAATCTACATTTAAACGGCAATAAAACTAAATGTATTAAATTTATACAACAAATGTTAATAATCCGAGTACCAATGTGTTTTTAAATGGGAAAGAACTGAATCTTTTGAATCCTCTGTTTTTCTTGGCATCACACTCGAAACTAAGGATTAGTGGCCCCTATATATCTAAAATAGCAAGCAGACTGAGCTCTGCAGCTATTGCTATAAAAAAAGATTAGAGATCTCACTAGTGTCGAGACAGCTAGATTAGTTTATTTTAGTTATTTCCATAGCATAATGTCATATGGGATTTTGCTATAGAGGAATGCGTCTGATGATGTATAATACGCTATTACAACAAAGTCTCAAAAAATATACAAGATCTCTCTGTTACCAAGTTTAAATATTTAATTAAACAAAAACTGTATAAAAATGGTTATTATGATATAAATGAATACATAGTTGATAATAACCCCTGGGAATGAGGTGGTCCCTTCCAAGCTGTTTCTAAAATAAATTTTGTAAATATTTTGTGACCATTGACATTGTATAATTTTTTTTAAAGTCCCGCTGGGTTTCTTGCTGGTTCTTTCCAGGACAGAGGTTTTCGAACCAGTGGTAAAGTAAAAAATTGATTTTCTATAAGAATTACTTGTAATCTATATAGAATAAAAAATTATTCTATTCTATTCTATAAAAATGTCTTCATGACCGAATTTCGAGACTACCCATCGGCGCAGGACAGGATTATACTCGTAGTGTAGGAGTGTTTGGGTAAGCCTTCAGTCCGTCAAGGGGAAACCAAGGCCCAGAATATCCACTATTGTGTAGTGTATATTCTTACATTCATACCAGGAGTTATTTCTTACATCAATACAATTGTCGTATATTATCGATATATTATTTTATTTTACCGTGGATGTTGTAAGAGGTGACAGAGGGGAGACGTATGAGCAGCAGAAAAGAAATTGCGGTTGCTAACATGCCCGCCAAGCAAAGCAACTATTGCGAATATCTCCATATGACTGAGTTCAACAATGAACTTTTGATAGGCTGTTTCTTTATAGGATAGGGTGACAAACGAGCACACAGTCCACATGGTGGTAAGTGGTTGATGTGGCCAATAGACACCTACATGTATCCTCGATTACGAATCAAAATGCAGATGCGTTACCACCGGTGAGGACTAAGATGGAAACCTCATTTCCAGTAAAAAGAGTCTCTGGTTCTCTACACTCACCATACGAAACACAGCTGCATTAAGCTACTATTTTACGCTGGTATTCTGTGAGAGCGTGGTATTTCCCCGGTCGAGCCGACCCATTCGTGCTACAACTATAGCTAATATACAAGTAAACATCGGTACATCGGTAACGATGACGGGTTTGCCTTAGAAAAAACTATTTAAAATAAACTACTTTATTGCAATATTGAGCTCTCTGGTGGTAATTGATAAGAGCCGTAATAGGTTTTAAAAACGAGGACTCTCACATTATGGTTAATAATACATGTGAACTTAATCAGTCGTCGCCTTGATGAAGTTACGTTGTTGTTAAATAGTTCACTGTACACACGACAATTTCTAGTTATATTTATAATAATAAATAGTGCTAATAATTACTTATTTTCTGAATAGGGTGACAGCACGAGATTGTGGCCCAGGCCTGCTGGATCAAATCAATAAAGACAGCACTCAAGAATTTATGATTGGTCCTGTTTTGTTGCCTCCAAAACACACTCACCGATTCCAACTTGAGTTACCTTTCGAAATTCTTGGCGACGTTACACATTGCTCTGGTACAAAGAAAGATAGGAACACATTTTTTTTTAGTAGATATAAATTAAAGTTATTTTAGTTTATTTACCATGTATAAAAAGGCGGTCTTAATGCCGCAAGATAGATTTCTACCAGTCTATCTCTTCTAGGTTATGCAGAGAAGATAATTGCAAATATGCAATACCGTACACACATTTATGAATAAAGTTGATTAACCATAAATAAAATAAGTTATAAAGCAAGAAAAGCAGAGAGCAGGAAATAAGAGGCTATATCGCAGTAGGGAAACTACAAACTACTTCTGCATTATTAGATAAAATGTCAGAGCACGCGTTTACGTACACGCGTCTTGCTCGTGGTTTTTGTATTTTATTTGGTCTTACTGCAAAGGTGTTAAAGGAGTTGTACATGAAGCTAGTTTGATAGAGGAGGACGGAGTTCAAAAAACATGGATAGTGTGAGAAGGAGAATAATGTACAAAGGATTCTGAATAAGTTATGGTAGCTCACAGGTAGCAATTTAAGCTGAATACGAAAAGAAAAAATATAGCCAGAGAAAATATAAACCGAAAATGAAATGTATACAGTTATAAAAAGTCAATTCAGTTTGACAAGAAGTACTGGCGAAGTATCAACGTCATAAATGCTAGCGTAATCTCAAATAGTTCCTATCGTTACAAAATTCTTGAGATGATACACATTACGCTGTGTTACTGTCCACAATTATTGTGTTATTGAGTGTTATTGGCCAAAAGAGTAAGTTATAGCCTTTAATCTTTAACAACTGTTAGGTATGAAATAACAAAAACATTATTAAAAACATAGGGACATTTATATTTATTTTAATCAAAAGGCGAAAACTATTAATGGCGTAACACTTTGATGGATTAACCCTTATGTCACAACTATCTGACCAATTAGCAATTAGTGATTAGTGATTAAGATCACTATTGAGCTTATTAATCACGTCTTTGATACATTTCACCTCGACATGAGCATGAATTTGTAAGTCATCAGCATACAGACGGTACGCGAGCAGCGAATATGGGATGTAATGATATTTATAAAATCTAAGGACAAAACAAGGGAGAAAATTCTTCCTTGACGAACGCTAGTTGCCAGCATACAAACAACAGCAAACAGAATGACCTGACCTACTCGAATTGCCTGCAGGACGATCAAATAAGACGAGAACCATTGACACGCTAAGAAGGAAAACCTCGGTGACAAAGAAGAGCTACAAAAATATTATAATCGACAGAGTTAAGACGTAATGGTCACCACACACGGTCGGTTCAACTGATCATTCCAACTGATCAGTTCAAACTAAAACCTTCGATATTTTTTAAAATATTGGATTTTCTATATATCGATAAATAAACTTATATATTATAAAACTCCGATATTGATATATTTACAATTATCAATATTTTAAAAGATATCAACAGTTTTAGTTCGAACTGATCTTGGAATTATGGAGTGTCACTCCATACTTGGAATGATCATTGAACTGACCGTGAGTCGCGTCCATTAGAAAAACCTATAATAATCTATAAAAATAAAACAGTGAATTGCAAGTTCTCCATTCCAGTAAGCAAATTCTTCAACAGTTATTTCTGGATTGATTACCACTATTACACAGTTGACAAAATCATTAATAAATATTATTATTTGTAAGATTAGATGTAGATGTAGAAGACGCAGTGATTCAAGATGGTCACGACGGTCAAGAAGGTCGGTACAGTTTTAAGTTTGAATATATTTAAGGTTATTTACTGCTGTTCTACAATTTACATAAAAAAATCTATAGAAAAAGATCGAAAAATTAAGGCTTAGGGAGTGACTACTACAGGAACAGGAGTCTACGTCCGAGATTCTATAAGCAGCGGCACGAAAGACTAGCGATGACTGTTATTGCGCATAAGTCGAAAATAAGGTACCATAGGGTAGTAAGTGTGTCGCGGGGCGGGGTGCGTATCGTTCGCACGTGCTGATTGGTTGTGCGTATCGTTCGCCCCCTCCACGTTTCGTTCAGCGCTAGACTTATGTTCCGCGACTTGTACTACCCTGTTTTTAATGGTAATACAATTTCTTATTAACAATTGGAATACGTTTTTGCCGGGATTCGCAAGGTGATTGGTCAGGAGAATATGATGAGTGAAATAGAATTAACACATTTTTTAATTAATAAAGTCGAACGCACTGGCGGACTTATGCAGCACTGCATTGTCGTGGTGCCTGAGAAGGTGCCAGATTTCTGACCTTAGTTACTTACTGATAAAATTTACGGAGCATTTAATTCTTTTTTGTTTCTAGTTTTTTTGGAAAGACATTAGGTGTTGCATTGTATAACCTACCCTCGATTTAGTAGTTAATGTGTATATCATTTTGTCACTTATGTATGTATTAATTGTCGTTAAAATTATTGTAAAATATTTTTCTTTTTACTTTCTCATCAAGATAAATAATTTGTAAGTTTTATTTTACTACAATGAAAATTACTAATATTTTTGTGTTACTTTTAGTATCGTTATTAAACGACGATGACGAGTCCGTGGCGGTAAGAGGTGTTGCAATTAAGAAAGATGACCGATGTTTCTGCGTTTGGCACTGCGATTGTGTTTGCTTAAGTAATTTTTTGCATATCTAAGTTAATTTTCAATATTTCTTAGCAAAAATATTCCCTGTTACGTCACTATCCCGTTACGTTAGAGGATAGTGGCGTGTAATTGAGGGAGGGCTGGTGTTCATCTAAGTTTATAAGACACATCATTTTTTACGAGGATTTAAGTTAAATAATTTTAACCCACCACCCACTGGGTGATTAAGGCTTAAAAGGTTAAAGAGAGCCTGTTTAATTTTATGTTGTGAGGTATTTTAGTAATTTTGAATAAACAACACAAACTAAGAAAATTGTTAGCAAATTAGTAAAAGGTATTTTTATCAAACATTTTGCAGGTGATGATCCCAAATTAATTTGTCGTGAAATGACCGAGTCCCGACAGATAGCCGCTGGACTATCGCTACTGGAACGGCCACGACACGTCCGCTCCGTCTGCTACCCGGATGACGTCACATTGAATACTGTTGTCATTGTCATAGGCGTCCTTGCCGCTTTGTTGACTCTTGGTAAGATGTCTACTATTCGCTTTATCGACAGATTAATTTACAATCAAATAAAAGAGACTACTCTTTTCTAAAAGGCCGGCAACTCACCTGGGACCAAGGATTTCCAAAGTGGTCGATATTGACCCCTTGGGCTCGTAGTCGGTTTCACAGGGTACGTCATTAACGAAAACTGATGTAATATATATTGACAATTATTAATTACGCTTGATATTTATTGAAGTTTATGTCTATTTATTTTGTTAAGTTTTGATGTACATGATATGATAATTCAAGTTTACTCAATCAAGCGCAAAGTGTAAATTGGGAAGAATTTTGAATCAATAGGAAAAAATTAGGATAGCATTTTTAAAGTAATTTGACTATGTGGGTCTGACGTATCAGTTCATTTTGGAAAAGGGATCTATTGCCCAAAATAGTTTGGGAATTCCTGATATAGATTATCAGTAGTAAAATTATAGGTATAGACTACCAGTACTCCTGATTTAATGAAACATAGTAAAGTAATACCTTTATTTAATTCTGATAGTACATTGGCCCCTTTTATTTTAGACCTATATCTGAACTACCAACAATCAGTAAAATTTTGACAATTTAATCTTAAACCAATTGTTATTTTTATAAAAATAAATTACTCCATAAAATCAATTTGGTTTCACAAGAGATCTCTCGACGACTGACGCAGGTGTCGAGTTTAAGAAATATATTTTTAATTCCTGGGATAGTTAGATTTTTTTGTGATCTTTCCAAGGCTTTTGATAGTGTTTATCATGATATATTAATCAGGAAACTACAACATTACGGTGTCAGAAATATTGCGCTTGGACTTATTATTTCATATTTTAATAACAGAACACAAAAAGTCGTTATCAATGGTAAAGGTTCCCCCGGATGAGTAGTATCAATGGGCGTTCCTCAGGGCTTGATTTTTGGCCTATTATTGTTCTTAGTCTATATCAATGACCTACCTTTTTAGGGGACAATCACGATATAGTATTATTTTCTGATGATACCTCTTTAATGTTCAAACTCTAACGACAGTCAATTAATATTGACAATATAAATAATGCTCTAACGAAATCAGTACATTGGTTTATAATTTGATCTTAAATGGCAATAAGAGAAAATGTATTAAATTTACAATACCTAATGTTAAACATTCAAATACCAATGTGCTCTTAAATGGGAAAGAGTTAAGTCTTTTTCTTGATATTACTATTGACGCTAAACTTCAATGGGGCCCCCATATTTCTAAATTAGCGGGCAGACATACAGAGGCGGCGTAAGGCGTGGGCGACGTGGGCCACCGCCTACGGCCTCGCGATCCAGGGGGCCTCGCGCCCTGGAGGTTTATGCATTACTTAAAACCGTAAACGCATTTCTCTTAGCATTTTGTTTCGCGTATACCACGGGGAGTGCTCTGAGAAATTGTTCGGATTAATCCCAGCCGCCAAATTTCATGAACGCACTACGTGGCAAACATCCCTGTACCATCCACACCATCTGGACGCTTGGCGGTCCACCACTGTACGTTTCACAAGGAGTTTTTTTCCGCGTACGACCTCTTACCGACCGATACGACCTGGGGACCTTCAAGAAAAGAGCTTACTCCTTTCTAAAGGGCCGGTAACGCACCTGCAATTCCCCTGGTGTTGCGTTTGATCATGGGCGGCGGTAGTCACTTAACATCAGGTGAGCCGCATGCTCGTTTGCCCCTCTTCTATTAAAAAAAAAACGTGCCGAAAAAATTTCATTGTCATGAATCGATATTATTGACATAACTAAATATGTTTTTATTCAGTCTAGTAACATTAGTTTGCATTGCTATTGCGGGGAATCCCCGCTGTGGGGCGACCAGTATATATACAGTAATCGTGGGTGCGTGGCAATCGAGTAAAGAGTGCGGTACAGCAGCCCAAGTGGTTGCTGTATGTATATTTTCGCGCTTTACGCACATGAGCAGATAAAGAGGAACAGACACAAAGCTTTTAAGAAGTTGCAAAATTGTTACCTATTTTTGTAGGGTTGTCACTATAGGTGATGACAAATTAAAGCCCTTGAACATTTACGTTTTGTGGCTGGATTAAAGAATATCTACAAACTTGTTTCGAAAAATGCTTGTCTGGTATTTAACAGTTTATTGAAAAAAACTGTTACGATCTGCCAAAAGATTTTAAAAATAAAAGAGTAGCCAAAAAAAGATGATGGATTATGAAGGCAAGGATTAACCTATACAGTCTCCTAAAAGTCGGTATTAAATAGACTTTTTCAACACCATGCTTGTTCAATTATAACAAAAATATAGATTTGAGATTTATGGCTTTAAACCAACAAAAGAAAATTTTGGTTTTCTTTATGATTTAAACAAGTTAAAAAATATTCCAAACTATCTAATATTAAAATAACTGTCAAGATTTACATCCAGCCCTGCGAGTGGTTGAAACCAGTGACTTTCAACCTTACGAATTATATGAAGAATGACAATTAATGATCCCTAATTTACCTACCTTCGTAACAGATGTGAAACAGCTTCTCCAATACGTTACAGAAAATATACCCAAACATTTACATCGTCATTTAACAATACCGATCAGTACTTCATCTTCATCATCTTCATTACAGCCCTTGACAAGTCCACTGCTGAACATAGGCCTCCCCCAAGTAATGCCACAAAGCACGGTCCTGAGCCACCTGCATCCATCGACTTCCTGCATGTCTTACCAGGTCGTCACTCCATCTAGTGGGGGGTCGCCCTACACTACGCCTACCGGTACGAGGCTGCCACTCGAGAACCTTTCTTCCCCATCGGTTATCGGTTCTTCGAGCTATATGGCCGGCCCATTGCCACTTCAGCTTACTAATCCGTTGGGCTATGTCGATCACTCTGGTTTTACTGCGGATATCCTCATTTCTGAGTCTATCACGCAGAGAAACTCCAAGCATAGCCCTCTCCATAGCTCGCTGAGCGACCTTAAGCGTCCTCATACGGCCAGCAGTGAAGGACCACGTCTCAGATTCGTAAGTCATCACTGGCAACACGCACTGGTTGTACAATCTAGTTTTTAGAGATTGAGGTATACCTGACGAAAAGATATGTCGTAATTTCCCGAACGCTGCCCAGCCGAGTTGAATCCGTCGATTGACCTCTCGGTCGAAGTTGGACTTACCTAGTCGGACTATTTGTCCCAGGTAAACGTACTCGTCAACAACTTCGAGCATAGTGCTCCCAACCACTACCGGCATAGGTGTGACATGGACATTAAACATGATCTTTGTTTTGTCCATGTTCATCTTAAGACCTATCCGTTGGGAGGCACTATTGAGGTCATTGAGCATAATGCTTAAGTGCTCCAGCGATTCTGCCATAATGACTATATCGTCGGCAAATCGAAGGTGAGTGATGTACTCGCCATTGATGTTAATACCGTATCCTTTCCAGTCCAATAGCTTGAAAACGTCTTCCAACGCAGCGGTGAAGAGTTTCGGGGATATAACATCACCCTGTCTTACACCTCTCTGCAGTTGGATAGGTTTCGAACTCTGGTTCTGTACTCGGATAGCCATCGTAGCCCTACTGTACAAACACTTCAGCACTTAGATGTACCGACAGTCAACTTGGCACCGCTGAAGGGACTGTAGCACCGCCCAAATTTCGACGGAATCAAAGGCTTTCTCATAGTCCACATATGCCAGGCAAAGTGGCAGATTGTACTCTTCGGTCTTCTGTACAATCTGTCGCAGGGTATGTATGTGGTCTATGGTACTGAAGCCTTTTCGGAAACCGGCTTGTTCGGGAGGCTGGAAGTCGTCGAGTCTGCGTGCGAGACGATTCGTAATGACTCTCGAAAATAGCATGTAGACGCGGCTCAGAAGGGAAATCGGTCTGTAGTTCTTCAAGAGAGCGTTGTCGCCTTTCTTAAAGAACAAAACCACCGCGCTTCTGCTCCACGCCTCCGGAGTAGTGCCACCATGGAGGACGGAATTGAAGAGCTTCCGAAGGACTTCAAGTACCGGTTTTCCACCCGCTTTCAGAAGCTCCGCTGTAATTCCATCCTCGCCCGGGGCCTTGCCGTTTTTAAGGTGGTGGAGAGCCATTCTAATCTCGCTCAGACTGACGTCCGGGATATCATCGGAATAGTGTCGGGTAAGACTTGCTCTTGGATCGTTACTCACACTTACGTGTGGCTCCAACGATGATGTGTACAGCTGCCCATAGAACCTCTCAATCTCACTCAAAATCTCAGGTGTCCCGGAAACGATGTTGCCACACTCAGTCTTCAGCTTTGACAGTTGGCTCTTTCTGGCAGACAGATCTCTGGCAAAGACTTTGGAGCCCTGGTTCCGCTCGATCGCTTCTTTAATACGAGAAGTATTAAAGTTGCGTAAGTCTCGCCGCATGCATTTGGAGATCTGTCTGTTCAGTTGCCTGTATGCTGTCAAATCTGTTGACGATTGCAGCCTCATCTCCCGTCTAACAGCCATGAGATTAAGAGTGTGATCGGAGAGTTTTTGTGTTCTTCTGCGGCGGGTCTTGCAGAACTTAGCTCCGACCGCATGGACAGTTTCCACGAGCTTGTCGTTCATATCGTCCACTGCATTGCAATCTTCTAGGCACTGGAAGCGGTTACGTAACTCGAGCTGAAAGGTTTCGGGATTCTGGATTAGAGCACGAGGGGGGACGGAGCGTTGACTTCATTAGACGAGACCTCTCCAACTTAACGTTTAGGTTCAGTGTGCCTCTAACCATTCGGTGATCGCTGCCAGTTTTCACCCTTGCGATCACTGAGACATCACTGAACAGTTGGCGCCTGGTCGTCATAATGAAGTCAATCTCATTTTTTGTCGAACCGTCGGGGCTCGACCAGGTCCACTTCCTGTGGGGCCGCTTCTGGAAGAAAGAGTTCATCATAAAGAGTCCCTCTTTCTCCATAAAGTCGGCCAGCTGCTGGCCCCTTCGGTTCCGTTGCCCTACTCCAAATTTCCCTACCTTCAGCTCACCGCTTTCTCTTGTGCCTAGTTTTGCGTTGAAGTCTCCCATCAACACCGTGTAGTGGGTTTTGGAGGAATGTATGGCTTTGGAAATATCCTCATACATTTCCTCCACCTCCTCATCGGGATGTGCCGAGGTTGGTGCGTAAACCTGAATGACCTTCAGCGAATACCGTTTGGTGATTCTGAGTATCAGGTACGCGACCCTCGTCGACACACTCCTAATCTTTACAACGTTGTTGACGAGAGACTTGTGGACGATAAATCCGACACCTCCTTGGGACAGATGGTCGCCCTCCCGGTGATAGAACAAGTTGCCGGACTCGAGGATTGCCGTGTCCTCCCCCTCTCTTCGGACCTCGGATAATCCAATAATATGCCAGCGCAACTTGTCTACCTCTTCTTCCAGCTCTAGTATCTTCTCGTCAGTCCTCAGGGTGCGTGCGTTATATGTTGCCAGGTCGAGTCGTCGTAGGTGGCAACCGAACCTCCACCGGAGATTCTTAGCACCCCCTGCCCCGCCGTTACCATGGTCGCCACCGTAGCCAGGAATAGCGGGGCCGCCGGGGACTGGGGGCCGTCTGTTTGTGTATTTATTCATTGGGGGGTATTTGCCATAGTTGCCACGCTTGGCGAGCGGGTTGGCAACCGCAGTTTTTTATTACGTCACAGTTGTTATCAGGAAGATGCTGCTGCCCATCTCCTGCCTGTCTCCCTCTGTCGCCTTTTACGACACCCACGGGAAGATATGGGGTAGTGGATATTCTCAACCGCCACTACACGGCAATGGCGATCAGTACAGCCTCCGTTAATGGAAGCTTCTTAAAATTAAAACTCGTTAAAAATTATCTCAGGAATGCAATGTCACAGAATAGATTTTCTGTATTGAAATTTTTATCTGTCGACGCAGCTATAGCATCCAAGCTATATTATGAGGTTATAATTAAACAATTCAGCAGGTTAAAAAGCAGAATATCTATTTTTCAATTTTTCTTTGAAATTGTTTGGTGTTGGTACTTAATGATTTTGTATGAATAAAAATTTCATAATGTGAAGTGTTTTGTTTTTATTTTTATATAATCCGTCTTCTTGCGCGGGCAGAGGGCCTCGCAAAATGTATCTCGCCCACATAAAATTTAGGTCTTGCCCCGCCACTGCAGACATAGCTTTGCAACATATGCTGTAAGAAAGATTAGAAGTCTTACCAATATTAAGACAGCAAGATTAGTTGTTTTAGTTACTTTCATAGCGTAATGTCTTATGGAATCTTACTATGGGGTAATGCGACTGACATTGAAGACTTATTTGTTTTGCAAAAGAGAGCCAGCTGTACGGGCACGAACTGTTAATACACCCGTTGGATTATCGCACGATCTTTTTTATCGTGGGATGAAATCGCATTGTTAAATCGTACGATCGATAGCCAATTAAGACGACGCCTAACATATGCGCTCTTCCAAGCTTCAGGAGATTCTGAAAAGGAAACACATTCGTAAAATATGTATGTGATAATAGGAGCGATACTATTAAGGAGAGGAACAATCATATTACGGATAAGTTCATCCCTACCGATAGCATATGAAGAGATGGACAATAATATGTTCTACTTAACATCTACATACAGTAAATGGAATATAAACGAACGGAGAATATTGGGGAGTTGAAGTTACAGAAAGAGAATAAAGAGTTTTAATTATTAAGGCGTAATTTGGAAAATCCAACCTTGATAAGAGAAAGCATGACCGTGCCGAGCTGAGAGGGGCAGGATTTGCATATTTTTTATAGAATAAGGGTGACAAACATGCATATAGTCCATCCAATGACCTGATAGATGTTATGGCCCGTAGATGACATCTATCCTCGATAATGATTAAAAATGCAGATGCTTTGTCACTCCTGAGAACTAACATGGAATACGTCGTTACCAGTAAAAAGGGCCTTTGGGTCTCTACACTCACCATACGAAACACAGCAGCATTATTCTGCTGTTTCACGGTGGTATTCTGTGAGACCGTGACCCTATCCCTGTCAAACCGACCCATTCATGTTACCACCCAAACGTAGCTACCGCGTCACTCTTCCATTTAAAAAAAATCGCTGTTATGCGGCGACCTCAATTAGCAAAATGCTCAGCAGAATAAGAAGAAGGCGATGTCACAGACCAATAAAAAAACCCCAAAGGAAAAGTTTTTAAAATTTGTTTCTCTGCGCCCACAAATCACAACCCCACAACCCACGCACGAGTTGGTCAAATTTTATTAATTGTTGTTATACACAGGCTGCACTAAAAGTATCGGGAATGGAATATTTCCACTGTTCCTGTCATATTAAAATCTTTTTAATTGGAAACTCCTTGGTTTTAAAAATCGAATTCCATTTATTTATTTAAAAAAAAGATTCTCGGTCTTGTCACAAGGTTTTGTCAAACTTGTTTAGTCGTTGAGAAAATGGATTTGACTCGAGAAAATTCAAGAGCGATGATTTATTTGAGAATGGTATGCTAGCATTTGTTTGCCACAGGTCGTTTCTGAACTCCGTAAAGAGAACTGCAACCGCCGCATCATCCTCCATCACGACAATGCGAGTTCTCACACCGCACACAGAACAAAAGAGTTTTTAGAGCAAGAAAACATAGAATTATTAGGCCATCCGCCGTACAGCCCCGACCTAAGCCCTAATGATTTCTATACTTTCCCTAAAATAAAGAATAAATTGCGTGGACAGAGATTTTCATCACCTGAAGAAGCTATGGACGCCTGCAAAACGGCCATTTTGGACACCCCAACATCCGAATCGAATGGTTGCTTCAATGATTGGTTCCATCGTATGGAAAAATGTGTCAAATTTCGCGGAGAATACTTCGACAAGCAATAAATACATTTATAAATACTAATGTTGTGTCACTTCCTTGATTCCCGAAATTTTCAGTGCCGTTTTAGAGTTTTAGAGCTTGGACTGTAATCACATAAGATTGACTTGCATGTATCCGTTTTTTCAATGTAGCTAAAACAAAAACCGTAGAAAAAAGAAACACGTTTCAAGTGTGAGGACTCTTTTTTCTTTTTACTATTTGTTTGGTAATCGTCCATTATTACATATGATATTTTCTCAAAATTGGAATCGGCTATCTATGACGGTTCAAAAGATATATCCATTTATTACTAAGACAGGCACAATTCAATTACAAAGTGATCCTCGCAATTGAATGATCAGAAAGCAAGCGTTAAAGAATTATCAAATAGTTTTTCTGTGTAGAACAGCGGTAGAAAGAGGAAAAGAGAAAAAATATATGTCGGAAAAAAATTTAAAGGACATGCTGAATATTTGTTTTTTTTTGCTATCATATGTCAGAGATATGAGTGTTTTTATTTGTTCATCTCATACTCATAGTCAGAAAAGCTAAATGAAACGATAAAAATTAAACGTCCAGACTTGTTATCAAAAGGTGTTATTTTTACCACATCACCTCACACTGCTTTTAGGATTAAAAAAAATATTGGACGGGATTTAGTCTTCTCTCTCCCTTCGTTTTCACCCGATCTCAGATACATTTTGACTATCGTCTCTGTAATCAGAGAAGCTTCAATAAACTTGAACAAGTAAGAATAGCAATTAGATTTAGGATCTTTTTTAGATTTAGGAGTTTTACATATAAGTTTATTCGTGGATATATCGAAAATCCGATATTTTAAAAAATATCAACAGTTTTAGTTTGGGCTGATCAGTTGGAATGATCAGTTTAACTGACCGTGTGTGGCGTCCATAAGGTTATCGTATCATTACATTAGATATTCTCTTATCAGCTTCTGTCATGTGTAGCATAGTAATGACGCTATCTTCAGATGTAACCGTTCAAGGACGTCGCTCTTGCTCATTATCTGTGAGATTACATTGAACCAGTTGTTGAATAGTTGTATGGAATGAGGCTACATGATAAAACGCGAATGAAATATATTGTTGGTAACTACTACGGATGTCCTAATAAATCTTCTCATAATAAAATCTTCTTAACTAAAATTACCGCCAATTTGCAAAAATAATGATAAAAGAATTAAAGGTTACTCTAAGTAATTCTGTATTTCTAACAAATTCCTTTCATTGGCTTTAGTACTTATCAGTTCATAATACTTTTTGTACTTTGAATTGAGGTGTAACACACAAAACCTCAATTCAAAGTTCCATGCTTGCAAGTGGCGACCAAGGAAGCGCCATAATTGGATTTCACTCCATCCTGGAACTTGCCTCGGCCCAGAACACTGTATTGTGATATTATGTACTATACTTTGCCTAGCATAGGTATTCTTAATACACTATGATAAGTCAGTTGGTTCTTAGTTTTATATTTTGTATTTGGCAATAGCAGACGAGATTAAAATCAACATTATAATCAATGTAATCCTCATAAAATTGTCATAATATCTTAAAAGGTTTCAGATACAGTAACAATACGCTGCTCAAATAATTTCACTGCACTGCTTGTTGTTATAAAATTATAAACATTAATTTTGCAAGCAATTTCTTAGGTTTAATTAAAGCTGTTCTCGGCCTGGGTCTAAGATGTATTGCTTCATGGGGCTTGGAGCGAATTTTGAAAATGCCCCGAAAGCTCGAGCACTATTACGAAAGCTCCCTACGATATCGTCCTGTTATTTATGACAATGAAGGTTGGCCTGTCCATCCTGATACGATGAAACGAAGCATTCGATATATCAGCAAGTTAGTTAAATTTAATTTGTTATTTTATCTGTATGTACCTGCCTAAATAAGAATATTGTACCTATTTGTACCATTTCAATAAGTTGGTATTATATTGAGGAGTCAATAGGATATAAATTATTTCACCATACATAATGATTTCTTATATTTACGCGAACACTACACATTGATTAAAGCTACTTTTACGGATTTTATCGCGTTTATTTTACTATTATTATTATTTTTTTAATTCCCGACGTTTCGGGCGCTTTCCAGCACCCATGGTCACGGGGTACTGAGATGACTGACGTCCCGATGTCATTGTTAAACCCGGAGTACCTTCAGCTTTTTTTAATTATTGTTGCACCAAAACAATAATTAAAAAAACTAAGATCCGTCAACGACATCGGAATCAGTCCCCCGTGACCGAATTAAAAAAATAATAATAGTAAAATAAACGCGATAAAATCCGTAAAAGTAGTTTTAGTCAATTCACCATACATTCTAAATTCCTAACATACTATTTTAATATAAATTTATGTTAAAGGGTGACAAACGAGCACACAGTCCACCTAATGGTAAGTGGATGCTGTGGTCCATAGATATCTATGTCTAACGCCGATTAAGAATCAAAATGCACATGCGTTGTCACCCCTGAGGACTAAGATGGAATGCCCCGTTTGCAGTAAATTCGGGCTTCAGTTCTCTACACTCACGATATGATATACAGCAGCATTGAGCTGCTACTACGAGTACGGTGGAGCCAACGTATTGATTCTACAACCATTACGACTATTCAGACTATGTGAACGAGATGTCCGCGCAGCTGCAAATTAAATTTAATGTCGCTGATTCGCTGGGAAAAACTAGAAAAAACTAGTTTGTTCTAAAACCGGGTTTGCCCAGTTATAGTTATTACTATATTTACAAATTTTATTTACATTTAATTATTGTTTACAAATTTTGTCTCTTTTACCTAAAATATATAAAGATTAGCTTAAAGCGACGATATTATTTCACAGATACATGGAGTTTGTCTTGAATCTAATATTTTTCATCACTATACCTTGCGTGATTGTTTGTGACGCTTTAAGATTCCTTATTTCAAAATGTCGAAATTCCAATGAGACCGTCCAACCAAAATCAAAACCGACTGATATTGACAAAAATGAGTACAGTTCGCAAGAGTTACAGGTATTTGTTTCATGTTAGTAACACTTTTAGTGTAAATGTTGTGAGTGCAATAACAGCAAGGAATTGCACTTAGAAAGAAGAAATAAATGCCCCAGCAAACGTTGGGAATTTTTAAGTGCAGTAAAATGTTCTTTGAAGTAAAGTGCAATTCCTGGCTGTAGGTTTCAAATCAACATTCGAAGAGAAGATGTCAAACATTGCGCAAGTGGATGAAGTCGCAGGCTGACGAGTTGTCATCCGATATTTGGCAGAAAGGTCTCAGCATACAAGAAGCGACCGAATTTAATTACGTAAGCGTTTTAAAATCCTTCGTAAGTATTAGTCGTTGCTATTGTATTGTATTGTCATCTTTTGTGACGATCGTTTTTGTTTCATTTGTCCTCTTTTTATTGTAACTTCATTAATCAACTGTTATGGATATTAAAATACGGCCTGATTTGAACCGCACGATTTCTATCTAATGTTGGATAAGCTTCAAAAGCCAAAGCTGTTTATTATCACGGGTTCCAATCGTTGGAGATTGGAGCCCGTAATAATGTCCTTTCAAAGAGTTGCGTTTATTTACGTTAATAAAAAAAGAGTAATCAACTATATAAATGTAATCATATGTGATAAAAAGAATAAGTAAATATGATGATTTGATGCTGATTTTCCGATTAATTAGATTCATCGGCAAATCGGTATCAGGCAGATCATGATATGTCTCTGCCTTAGACCATCGTCTGCAGATCATTTTGTTGTGATGTATTCATTATGTACCTACTTAATTGTTAGTTGTTTGATAAATAAGTTCAGTCTTGTCAATCTGGTCAGTTTTACACGTGGTAGAGCCATGTTGCAGCTATATAAGTAGTGTAGTTGTAGCACGAAGTTGTAGCTCGACCGGAGAAGGACCACGCTATCATATAATAACAGCGTAAAATAGCAGCTTAAGGCTGTTCCGTTTCGTATGGTGGGCATAGAGTACTGGAGACCCTTTACTTACTACTGACTGCTTACTACTTACTGAGACCCTTGACTTACTGGAAACGAGGCATTCCATCTTAGTCCTCACGGGTGACAACGCATCTGTATTTTAATTTGTAATCGAGGATAGATGTAGATGTGTCTATGGGCCACAGTAACCACTTACAATCAAGTGGACTGTATGCTCGTTTGTCACCCTTTTCCTATAAAAAATTCTATCAAGTTCAAGCTTTTGACATTGGGCATACCACGTTTATTCTAATATGAAACATTCACTACCCGCGGTGCCATAAGTCATGGGTGCGCTAGGGCCAGACGCGTGCCGTACGTCACCTATCGATAACCGCTTATTGATTCCTAGGAGGATGTGGAAAAGAGAGCGCTGACGTGCGGTGGGTTATTAATTAATGCGTGTACTTTGATAATTACTGCAAGGGTAATTTAAGAATGATTATTATTATTATTATCCTGTCTTAATAGGCGTCTATTATCATTTGACATTCGGACGTTCCTGATTATTGATTTAACCTGAGTTAAAATGGACACTTTTTTTAAAAGAATATTAAACGTGTTGTATAAAAATACTACTGAAACATGTAATTACTGAATACCTAGTTTTCTTTTTACTTTGCATTCTTTACTTTTTCATAATATACACATCGACAAGATAGTGGTACGTCACTATGCCTACCGTAAGGGCCCATAAGTGTGACAGAAAGCGCATCCACTTTCCCTATTTTATAGCACCGCGGGCAGCAAGTGCTTAACATTAGTATAGATATACGCTGATCAGTAAAAAAACAATTAAAATTCTCGACACTGGAAATGATGATGAGATCTCACTGTGTGGTCCTTCAATGTGAAGACATCTGGAAAATCATAACTATCTTCAGTATTTAGAATAACGGTTTTTAAAGATTCGTGGTCATTGCCGCCATTCACTCGACTTGCGTGCGTTTTCCATAGAAAACCTATAATTTTCCTTTGCTTTGCTCATTATAAATTGTTTGCTTATTTGATAAAGCAGTGAACAATCATGAGATTGCGGACGATATGACTAAGGTTACCTAGACATTTCATGTATACAAATACCATAATTTTATAATCTGGCCACGTGCATAGGGGCACAAAATTACAAAAGGCGCACGTAGAAGTTTTTAAACCAAAAAAAAAATTATTGTAAGTACTTGCTTATATTAAAAAATATACTTTCAATAAAGAATTAGAGCTTCAAAAGCGCGGCCCGGCTGTTGATTACTTCTACATCACCCTCAGCTGACCTCTAAGGTCCTCATTCTCTAATCACGTTATTTTTTTTACGCGTGTCGTAAATGTTTTGCAACTGAACTATAATATAAATTATTATATAATTTATTTGCAAAGTAAGTAGTTATAATTTATAATATATGGCCGCCAGAGGGGTGCCGATGAGGTGCTAGCCTAGGGCGCTGTCAACGTTTAATCCACTTCTGAATCTATCACATTAGGATTTGCTTAATTACATTTGCCACATAGAATTGCATTGCATTGGCATTTAAGAAAATACTTAATCGTTATTTCTTAGATGCGGCCTCTCCTACGTGAAGAATGCTTACGAAAATCAGAAGATTTGTTATCATCCTATGCCGACTCAGAACAAGATGATACAGAATACGTGCTCATGCAGATGCAAAAGAGTAGAGAATCACTTGCAGTGAGTTTGTTTTATATACTGTTTATTTATTTATACTTCCATGCACAAAGTAGTACACGTGGCAGACTTAATGGCTTAGGATATCTCTGATTAGGGTATTCTCTCTCAGTCAACTATTACGCCAAACAGAAATAGACATAAGAGGCGGTGCAGCAAAAATCAAAACTAGAAAATTTATTATATAAGTAAATACTGATAGAGATAGCTGGTATATTTCCTTTCGTAATAAAACCCATATCTTACCGAAACGCCATGGTGATATTCGAATCGAATCGAATCCTATAAGAAGATAGGAAGCATACTAGTGAAAGCTACAAATATTTGCAAAAATGCATAGGAGGTAAGCATGTATGCATCATCATCATCAAAGTGAAGAATGGAATAAAATGGAAATTAAGGACCTCAGAATTTAATGACTTTCTTTTCTCTCTCAGAGATGACTTTTCAATGTTATGGACGCCACACGCGGTCAGTTCAACTGATCATTCAAACTGATCAGTTCAAACTAAAACTGTTGATATTTTTTAAAATATTGAATTTTCCATATATCGATAATTATAAATATACCAATATCGGAGTTTTATATATAAGGTTATTTATCGATATATCGAAAATCCAATATTTTAAAAAATATCAACAGTTTTAGTTTAAAATGATCAGTTGGAATGATTAGTTGAACTGACCGTGTGTGGGGACATTTTGACACAATATTGATGATATAATTTAGAGTAAACATAAGGTTTAATTCTATTATTTTCAACATTTTATAATGTAACGAGCTTTTGACTTTACACAGGTCCTGCTGTTGTCTGTTATAAGTAATTATGTATGCAATTAAATAACATAAATTCAATAAAGTCCTATCTTAAGAAAGTCCCATCAATAGCTTAATCCTAAATTATTTACGATTTTATAGTTTAAAATATTTTTAGGTTCCATAAAAAGTTTATATACAGAATGAAACCTCTTTTATTCTATTTTCGAAAATTTTAATATAAATTAAAAAAAAAACAAAAGAAAAAAATACGACGGCAAAATTGTTATTAATTCGTTACAAGGAAAATTAAAATTGTTCTACTGATATTCATTAATGAAAAGGATTAGATTAGATTAGATTGTTTTTCTTTTTTAAGTAAGGACCTACAATTATGATTTACATATTGGGTCCTTACATATGAAATTAGCGTTTTGTCGTACTGACCACTTTGATCTGAAATATCTCCTCTTTGGTTAAGAATTCCAAATTCAAATTTATAAATTCATTTAGCTAGTACATATGAGTTTTGAAAACAGTAATTTTTTTGTTTTTACTCATTATTTTTTTCTTTGGCGTCGCTTATTACCGCACAATGGAAAACATGAAATATCGGTATATTTATCTACGAGTACGAGTTCTACCGTGGCACCAGTGCTGCAGAAACAGCTCGAAGGATTAATGATGTGTACGGCGCTGGTGTCGCAAAAGAAAGCATAATACGTTTTTGGTTTCAACGTTTTCGTTCTGGAAATTGCCCCGTGGGCGGCCGGAGACCAAAGTGGAAAATGAAGAATTAAAGGCTATTGTGGAAGTGGATTCATCACAAAGCACTTCAGGAATAGCTGCAGGCTTCGGGGTAAGTGATAAAACTGTATTAATCCACTTGAAGCAAATCGGGAAAGTAAAAAAACTTGAACGATGGGTACATCATGAATTGAGTGAATCTAACTTGTAAACACATGTCGACTGCTGTGTTACTTTGCTCAACTGACACAAAAATGAAGGGATTTTAAATCGAATCATTACTTGTGATGAATAGTGGATACTGTACGATGATCGGAAGCGCTCATCGAAATGGCTGAACCCTGGAGACAGCCAAATCCTGCCCTAAACGAAAATTGACTCAGAAAAAGTTACTTGTGAGTGTTTAGTGGATTAGCGCCGGTGTCGTTCACTACAGCTTTATAAACGATTACGGCAGATATCTATTATCAGCAACTGCAAACCATGAATGAAGAACTGGCTGCTAAACAACCGAGATTGGTCAATCGCTCTAGGCCACTGCTGCTTCACGGCAACGCAAGACCACACACTGCACAACAAACAACCACTAAGTTAGATGAGCTACAATTGGAATGTCTGCGACATCCATCGTACTCCCCGGCCCTTGCTCCAACAGATTACTATTTTTTTTTTCGAAATTTAGATAACTTCTAACAAGGAAAAAACTTCAACTCCGATGTGGCAGTCCAAACCTTCAAAGAGTTTATTGATTCTCACCCCCATGGTTTTTTTAGTAAAGGGATCAATGAACTACCTATGAGATGGCAAAAGTGCATAGATAACAACGGTGCATACATTGATTAATTAAATATATTTTACAAAAAAAAATTGACTTTATATTCCTCCCGTACAAAACGCCAATTTCATATGTAAGGACCTATTATTATTTTTTAAACATTTCGAAGGAGATTCCAAATACTATGTGAACCAACCAGTGCCGGATTATCCACGAAGCAAGAGTATCAATTGCTACGGGACCGCGCAAAAGGGGGCCTCGCGTATCTAAACCAATTCTCTGCCTGAGCGTAATATTTGGAATAAACCTTATGACTTATAACCTTAAAACTTTAAACGTACCACCTTTTCCGACCAAGACAATCCACGACAGACAATTGGTAACCGATTATTTCGTAAACGAAAACAAAACACAAAGTTTCACTCCCCTGTAGTTTTGTGGTCTCGTGGGAAAGACGGTCAAATTGGCCTCTAAAAAGCTTGGTGTGCACAGCAGAACGGGACGGTATTTTATGCCGGCACACTGCCTGCAACTTTACAAGGCCCATATTCGGCCTCACATGGAATACTATTCCCATCTCTGGCACGGGGCTCCCCAGTGCCAGTTAGGCAAATCGTCGGCGACCGAGCTGTTTCTGATCGGCTTGACTCACTGAGACTGCGGAGAGATGTTGCATCTCTTTGCGTATTTTATCGCATTTACCACGTGGCTCTGAAGAATTGTTTGAACTAATTCCAGCCACTCAGTTTCACCGTCGCACATTGCGACAAAACGCGCGATACCATTCTTACCATCTGAATGATTGGCGATCGACCAATGTGCGATTTACAAGAAGTTGTCTTCCTCGTACAATTTCCCTATGGAATCGACTATCACCAGTGATTTTAAGATTATCTTAGAATTTTATTATTGGGGATCTGTACGAAGTGTTTAATGGTAATAAGCGTCGACGCGACCGTGCGACAGTAGCCGCGCAGAACCCTATTTTCAAAATTAAATAAAAATTGTTGCTTATGGAGAGTTCCGGGTGTCAAGACTTTTATTAAGAAATTCAATGATATTTTCTCCTCTTTAAGGATATTTTTTTGATTTGGAAGCCCCATCAGCTATTGAGTTATTAACAAAAAGCTGAGCTCCTTATTTTTGTTTTATTTTTCTCTTCTCTCCGTGCAATAATCGAAAACCTTTGAGTATTGAATACTCAAAGTCGAAAACGGATTAACAAAAATTGATTATAACTTGAATTCTCACTTGAAGGCTAATGTCTAACAGAACCTAATCTAATGTACTATTAAACACCAACAAAATTGTAACCTATAGATGGCAAACAAACGTATTGAGTATTTAACTGTTTTTTTACCACTTTATACTTAAGAACCCATAGTAGATCGAGGGCCCCTCAATAAAACTTGCTACGGGACCCGCAATTTCTTAATCCGGCACTGGAACCAGCTATATCCTTTTAAGACAGGTCCTGCTGATTATGGACGCATGAAGTGACCATGGATAAATGTGGAAGGAATTATGTTTTTTCTGCGTTAGATACGGTTAAACAATATATAATACTGCAGAAAATATCTTCGATGAAATTGCAGAATTGCATTGAATACTGTAAAATATTGGTTGAATATTTTAATTTTCTTGTTTTAAATTTATAACTTTTCACTTATCTACAATAGTTTAGTTTTATTTTGTTGTCAATAACAAAACTTGAATTTATGTTTCTTTTTCATAGAAAAGTCAAAGAAAATTCACTGACGCATCTTCTAAGAGTCACTGGAACGACGATAATATAATACCGAGTACTAGTAAGCGTTGAAGCAAGTCCCCTTAAATAATTATGTCAAAACTTTTCTAACCATTGAAAGATTTTTTTACATTCGTTGATTTACGAATACCTTCAAAAATAGTTATAGATTTTTTTATTCTTGTATTCACTTCACAGTGTTATTACAAAGAATAAAAAATAAGTAATTGTTTGTCATTCTTGTTTTATTTAATTTAATATTTCGCTAAGTGAGTGACTTTAGGTCTCGAACCAAAGTCATTTAAATATGGAATTGGAACCTCCATTATGGGTTCCCCTGACAATGCACATTGGTTTGAGATTGAGAGATTCTACGGACAGCTGCACACATTTTGGCTTGATGGCGGGTGAAGATGGTGTAACAGCAGAGTTTCTGAAAGTAGACTTGCTGTTTAATTGTGTCCTTTTTGTATTGTTTATTGTGTCCATATAGCTGTGGTCTTGTTCTACCTTTTCAAAATGGCAATAATTTTACCACGTTCCCAGTACCGAGCTATATCTAAAGTTTAAAATCTCTAACTCATCGGCAAGTAAGTTTAAAATTGATTGCTAAATGATTTCTTATATTTACGCGAACACTACACATTTAAATAATACTAGTTTTTACGGATTTTATCGCGTATATATAACTTTTAAAAATAACTAACGTTTTGAGCACTTTACAGCTGTAAAAACTATAGTATAGTTCGTGCCAAATCGATTGAGAAAAACGGACCTTGACCTTTCGGTCCGTTTAACCAGGGGCTACAAACCTTCAATATATAGGCACTTTTTATATGTAGTACTTTTTTTATTTATAATATTTTTTATTATATTTATACTATATTTATAACGACATTTTTTATAATAATTGATATAATATATATTTATTAACTACTATTAAAAAGTTATGTAAAAGATCGCTGTAGAAGAAAAATCATCTATTGTTATAAAGTACTTTATTCACTTAACAACAAAAAGCATTAGTTTATAACACATATAAAGATTCGAGTGATAACGACTCCGAATAAGTACATAGTTATTCAAAAGATAAAACTTTATTTTCAAAATTATATAAGAACTTTATTTTTATTTGGTGCGTGCGGGCCGAAAAATGTCACGTTTCTTTTAGAACGAACTGACATAACGCGCGTTGTGTTTATTTTAAAGGGATGAATTTGAAATATAAAACTGTTATTAAATGAATTGCTGCGTTACTTATCATAAATTGAAATATAAAATATAACACATTTTTCGCGATATATACAGAATGGGTCCCACATATATGCAATAAATGAAACCACAAGTAATACTAGTCCGTAGAAGTGTAGAAAAATTAAATATTAAATTAAAACCCGTAAAATAAAAAAGTGAAATTTTCAAACAAAATAAATATTAAAATAAATTCAGTAAAAGTGTACACTCTGTTTAGACAACATACCTTGACCCATTGGAAGAGTGACAACGTTGCACGCGGGTGGCACGCCGACAAAAGACACCGCTGTCGATATGTCGCAATACCAATAGTTTGCACTGCGTGGCAACGTCGCTTTTTAATGTTCAAGGATTCAAGTTCATTGAATCATTGACTTAGTGACCCAATTTTATAGAGTGTTCAATTTGCTAAATATAAAACTCTGCTTATTGACCGAATTGCTGGACAGATTACGTATCATTTTTTGTATACAAAGATAACAACATTTATCGCGATATATACCCATATCTGTATATGTTTATAGGAACCACAGACAATATTATTTAAGAAACAAAAAAAATACTAAACATATGTGCTGACCTAGAAGTGTGAATAATATCAATATTTAAATATTGTTATCTCATCTATATTGAGATTTTGTAAGTTACGCCTTTTGACACTCGGCTCATATCTGAGGTCACCGTCCGTTTTTCTCAATCGATTTGGCACAAACTATAGTATTATTTGATTGCTAAATTTGTACCGAACAAGCAAGAAAGCGAGTTAAAAACGTGGTAAAAAGGCAACCACGTTCTTCGGAGCCGCGTCTATATTTTGTAGAAAACCGCCGCATCTATATTGTCTAGAAAAATTGACTTTCAGGAGAATCGTACAGATGTCGAAGACAATCCGCTGCTTTGTCTTCATTTTTATCGACCCACAAAAGTTCATCTCTGGACCTTTTCTTTTATAGAAAGGATTTGCCTAATTGGCAGGCAGATTGACGATCGTAATACCAGATGTTGCTGCCCATCGCCGGACTTGGTCTTTTACGTCTGGCGCAAATGGGATGGCAAACTGGCATCTATCGGAAGATATAAGATTTTTGATAGTGGCCTTCCGACACCCACTGGACGAATTGGCACGGCAACCTATCATCATCATCATCATTACAGCCCTTCACAAGTCCACTGCTGAATATCTCTCTAAGAACCGACAACCGATGGGGAAAACAGGTTATCGAGTGGCAGCCTCGTACCGGTAGGCGAAGTGTAAGACGACCCCCCACTAGATGGAATGATGAGATGCAGGAAGTCGATGGATGCAGGTGCCTCAGGACTGCGCTTTGTGGCATACCTTGGGGGAGGCTTATGTTTAGCGGCAAACTATGTGGATAATTATAAGTAAGCCTTGAAAACGTCTTCCAAAGGAAAATTTTTGAAAAAATTTTCCTTTACATTTATTGACGCGGAATCGGTTTAAGCCGAGTGCGTATCACCACACTAGTTGGCTTAAGGTCGCGTCGATCTGCTGTTGCGACGGCTATTCATATGCGATCGGCAGTCAACTCCTTTGAAAGGCCGTCGCGACGGTGTTTACTTGCATTCGGTAGTTGACTCTCCAGAACGGCCTTCGCGACTGTAGTTCTTTTACGTACGGCAGTGGACTCCTCCGAACGGCTATCGCAACGGCTATTCACATTCCTTCGGCAGTCGACTCATCGTTTATCATTCGACTGTTGTCCACCGCTGTTCGGTTGCTTTCTTATGAAGCTATACGAGCGGATCATTTTAACGAGTTCGGCAGTTTTCGCGCCGTTCGGCTGCTGTCGGAAACTTAAACACGTCGACGTGAGCGTTCGCCTACTCGCAACGTCACACGCATAGATAATATAATACTATATATATACATGTATCTACATGGCAACGCTGACAAGCTGATTGTCTCGCACGCTGACTCGATAACTTCCAGCTTCCAGTCAGGGAGTTCCTACATTTATCAACGTTACTTGAGGTTGGGCATACCCGTGGTACCATTAGGACCAGAAACGCCCGGGGTTTAATACCCTAAGAAATGGGCCTTCACAGGCTTGTCGTTGTTCCCGGTATCGCTCTTTGATTAGAGCGGACAGAAGATGGGACTTACACACAGCGATTTTCCAGGCGCACTAGTATTGCCCAAATGCAAGAACAGGACGAGGCTTAGCCAGTATTGGTCTTGGTCTTACGCCAGTACACCTGGTCTTGGTCTTGATCTTCGTATTGCGGCAAGAGTCTCGCAATTTTCGCAATTACCTATTAGCCTATTGCTATTTATTAAACGTTACCTTAGATCTTAGAACAACTTAACAGAGTAGGCACACTTTGAGCTTGAATAAACATAGCCATAGTAAAGACCAACCAAATTAATAAATGTCTAAACATTTAATGAGAAATTCGAAAAATCGATTGACACTGGGTGGGGTCTGAACCCACGACCTAAGCGATCCGTGCCGATGCTCTAATCAACTGAGCTATCTACCATGTCCCACGGCCACGGGACTTGGTCTGTTTCTTAATAAACGTTTACATTTAATAAGCTTATATGTGCTAAAATATGGTTAAAACGTATAAAAAACAAATTAATAACATTAACTTGACTGTATTTTTAAAGAAAATTATTTGTCTAGAAAGAGATTGATAGACCCCCACCTTATATGAAATGGAATAAAAGAATTATGCCATTTATACAATTTATCATTTATTTAAGTAAATAATAATATACAATACAAATTAAATTACATAACATTACGCAATAGCTTTGACATTACCTTTACTTTATATTAATTCTTTTGACCAAGAATTAATACAAAGTAACCATCTGGCTGACTCATCATTTAACCTATTTCTATGTTTTCTAATTTTATTAACGATGCTCTAGAAAATAATCTCTCAGCTGGTACTGAAGCTGCAGGTATTGAATGAAAATCACGGGCCATCTTCGATAAAGTCGGATATTCTGTCTCATGTGCCATCCACCACTCTTAAATGTCTCCCGAGTTGGCGGCTCTGGGTTTACTTAGGTACTCCTCCAACTCGTCTATAACTAAGCCTTGAAGACAAGATCGAGATCCAGATGACATCGACGGACATGCATACAGTTTCTCAAAGTCTATTACGTCTTTATTTTCATCATATTCACATACTTTATTTTCATTTCTTGGTGATTCTACAGATTTATACCCTGAGTGCAGACTTTTATATACTTTATAAAGTTCATTAAATTTGCGCAGGTTTTCTGTTTTAATTTGCTTCCCCTACGTGTATAATATCATGTCAAAAGTCTGAGCCTTATGCCTTAGGTCTAAAATTAAAGAGGTACAACAAATCCAGTTGCTCTTCTTGTATTGTTTAAGCATTTTGTCTCGAGCTGCTTGGAAATCCCGAATGAGCCTTTCATCCACTTCGGATCGATTAGGTTTCCCATCTAATTGTTTTACCATGGATTTTATCGAGCAAAAGATTAAAATGATACAATGACTAGTGGTGACGTAATATATTTTTCTCTACCAAGTTTCGTTGATAAAAGTTTAATTTTATCAACGAAACGTGTTAAGTTTGTAATGTGAAAATTATTGTTATTAAGTTTGGTGACAGAAGTGAACAATATGTTACTGCCAGTTCTCACTTTTAAAACTAAATCCAATCATATCATGTGTGTAATTGCATCTCTTTGGACAATCGAGTATGGGATTCAGATTTAATGGCTGGCGTGCCGTCAACAATATTTGGCACATATTCTTCATCTTCTTCGGTTTCGTGTTCGTAGTCTTCATACTGCTGTTCTTGTCCGTTGTTGT